TGTTTACTAAAGCCGATTGGAATACAGCCACATCTTGGCGCGTGTGTAAAGACAACAATTTGTCCAAAGGATGAGCCGATAATGTTGAGTTGTCTAGTTTAACTAAACCTTTTATCTCGTTACTCTCAACAATTCAAAATGATCAATATACAGACTCAATTTTACTATTTATTCATTATTTTATGAATAAGTCAATTGTTGTTATCAAAGCATGAAATATATAACAAATTTCTTACACTGCTTTCAATCTAAAAGTGACCAGATGACGAGAAGAATATGCACATAGTAGGTAGTGATAAGCAGAGGTTAGCAACAATAACAGGTAGCCGATGTCTATTTACACAGGTCACATATAGCATGTTAACATGTTGAACATGAATATATCCATTACATGAATATTTATATCCCAGTAGTTTGATGACCCGTGAAGATCCGGGGTAGAATAAGTCTTCAGCAACCCATGCTTCTCACAAAAGGCGACTATGCTTGTCGTAAGAGGCGACTAACGGGGTCGGGTGGTCAGGCTCGATGACTTGGTTGACACATGTCATCGGTTCTCCATTGCGCAGATCGATGCTCATGCTGTTGATCACTGGATTGTCTGGTCCAAACTCGATTATTTACAGACCGTCGCCATATAGCTTGAATATTGTTGAGTGCAGCGTAAAACTAAACTCACTCACTCACTCAGTAGTTTGATACAGATAGTGATGAATCATTGAGGATAGGATATAACGTGACACGGCGAAAGAGGGGTTCTCATTGTTACAGATATGCCCTTGGATTTACAAATTACCTATCAAAAGCTTAGACTCGCTTAAATCAATCACCATCAGTTATGTATGTACATATGGCTACAACGAAGATGAATGTCTCCACTAACTTGGGGGAAACATCGGCAAACCTTATGCAGATAAATTACACGAGTATCATGCATCAAATTGCTGAAAAGCATGTGCAAATATCGTGCATGAGAACAGCTGCGTTTTGGTGTAAAGTTTTGATAAAAAATCGCCATTTTTCACCAAGTTTCATCATTTATTGAACACATGACAATAAACTTTTCAGCGTCACGAATTTCTTTTACAATACATCAGCTCATGTATAAACAGTACCTTTAAACTGTATGGATTATTTTACAAAATCTAGTTCAGAACAGTTGACTGAAGTAAGTGGCTACATTTACACTAGTGAGTCTAAACTTTTGATGGGGAGTATATGAGTTTGTAAGTTTCACATTCAGTTTGCACATTAACCATTCATAAATAGGTGATAATTCACCACAAATGGATCCGCTATTTACAAACAGAGATCTACAAGGAATGGCAAAAGTTATGTTCCACTGAAAACAGATTTGTCAGTAATTCAGATAAATTCTGATCAATATAACACTCCCAACACACCCCACCCCCGGACTTTTAACGTATACAGAATCATAGTTACACATCAGTTCATATTTCGTTTTGTTCTTTTGCGATAGACTTTGTAATTAACACTAATAGTAAAACATTAATCACTGCTGCAAATACCAGCATCTGCTGCATACTGCGATCTTGTACAATATACCCAGGACCTTCAGACAATCAACGTCCTGCCTGGGTTCAGACAAATACCAGCATCTGCTGCATACTGCGATCTTGTACAATATACCCAGGACCTTCAAACAATCAACGTACTGCCTGGGTTCAGACAAATACCAGCATCTGCTGCATACTGCGATCTTGTACAATATACCCAGGACCTTCAGACAATCAACGTACTGCCTGGGTTCAGACAAATACCAGCATCTGCTGCATACTGCGATCTTGTACAATATACCCAGGACCTTCAGACAATCAACGTACTGCCTGGGTTCAGACAAATACCAGCATCTGCTGCATACTGCGATCTTGTACAATATACCCAGGACCTTCAGACAATCAACGTACTGCCTGGGTTCAGACAAATACCAGCATCTGCTGCATACTGCGATCTTGTACAATATACCCAGGACCTTCAGACAATCAACGTCCTGCCTGGGTTCAGACATTGGTGTCAGTATTGTACATACAGAGTGTCATGCTGGTGATGAGGACTTTTCTACCAATTGTAGTCTTTGAAGGATCCTGTAATGCTGTGGCCTGATATCAGTTCTCCTGTTATATCTGCAGCGAAGGTAGGACAACCACGCATCATGACCCACATGGGTCTGTCAAAATCTACATCTGTGACAGTGGTGTACACTGTGTTATCAGCAGCATTGATAACTGACAGTTTGTTGTTAGCTCCGTCAAGTACAAAACACAGTCGTACGTCATAAGACTGGCCAACTCTGTTCTGGGTGAGTGGGGTGTCCCTGAGGTAGGTGCCATTATAGCCAACCAAGAGACACAGCTGCTGCTTCTTGTCGAGGCATGCAGCAACACGTACACTCAGTCCAGTGAGTTGATGGTAGGGAGCATCTACAGGGGTGGGGGTCAGAGCAGTCTCTAGCATCATACAGTTGTCTGGTATATTTCCTTTCACAGAGAACCCAAGGTTTACTTGATAGATACACTTTTGACCGGGACTGTTTCGGACCATCAGGGGTCTGGACGCCATAACTGATCTCATTTGTTGTATCCGACATCCTGTATCAGGAGAAGGGGTGGTTGGTAGAGTGTTGGTGATTACCCGCCTAGATACGCTTATATCACGCCGAGCTGTTCCTGGGTCCCATTCCAGCATAGGGCCTGTGTGAAGTATGACGTTCATAATTGATACAAACCACTTCCATTGCAGTGAACGAGAAGTTATTGATATCATAGAAACAAAACGTTGTGGAGATAAGCCATATATATGTATGTAGCTGTACAATAACCTTTAAATAAACCTCGGTATAGAATCGATACATAGAACTGTACATCCAGGGTAAATGAACACTTATGTTACTATTATAAAAATCACACTAGAGTGATGAATTGACAAATGGGACACAGAAAACGTATTGAAGCTTCCAGAACTACTCACATGTTATCTCCCCTTCACACAACTTCCGGTCCGTTTCCATCACTGAAACAAGGCATAGGTCATGTACTATCTCCACAATATCATATATATGTTCTGGGGCTGGTAAAACAGTCCCACACATCTCTTTCGAAACGGCATTGAACAACAAATTAGGACCAGCTCCAAGGAGAGAATGATTTGAGACCTAGTGCTGTGACGATTCATCGATACGCATCGATGCATCGATCCATGGCCCGCCGATACAGTCAATCGATACAAAGTTTTACACTGTTGTATATCCTGATACGATTCTTCACTGGACCACGATACATCGATGTTTTACTTTGAATATTGCCGAATCGCGATATCTGTCAAGAAATACTTACTTTTGTTTGATGGTTAAAATATATGCATAATTATTTTCTCTTCAAAAGATTCTCGGAAATTCTGGCGTCAGGAACTGTGTCAAACATAGCGCTCACATTTTGGGAACATTCACAAAGTCCGTGTATAAATTTAATTATGTCATTCCCGAAGGAACATTGAAAAACGGTGACGGAATTTGACGAAATACTTTAAAGGGGTTTTGTTTTGATCTTAAGGTGTTTTATAGTTGGTGTTAGATTTTAGTATCGTGATACGTATCGTATTGCCACCCTTGTATCGGGATTCGTATCGTATCGCAGCTTCAGAGCACAATACTTTGTCACATTCAGCCACTCACACACACACACCCCCAACTCACTCATTCACTCACCCCCACCCCTCAACTCACTCATTCACTCACCCCCCTTCCCCCAACACAAAACCACCCCATTTCTTCATCACTCACTCACTCATCCTTCCACCCACCCACGCACTAACTCATTCACGCTTGCAAACACTCACTCACCCACTCACTCACTCACACACACACACACACAACTCACTCATTCACTCTCCCGACCCACCCCACACAAACCCACCCCGTTTATCCATCACTCACTCACTCACCCTTTCACCCACCCATCCACTCACTCACGCTTGCAAGCACTTATTCACTCACACTCACACCCAACTCACTTATTCACTCTCCCACGCCCACCCCACCCCACACAAACCCATCCCGTTTCTCCATCACTCACTCACACACTTATGGAATTAAATCAAATGTATGTAGCTGTACAATAACCTCTAAATGAACCCCGGTACTTGCACCTTTGAGACCGATCTGAGAGCGGGTGATTAGCGGTTTGATTCCTGATCGTGCCATGCCACAAGGACGTTAAAACATGGTACTTGTTGTCTCCTTGTCTGGCGCTCAGCATTAAGGGGATAAAACAAGGACTGGTCGTCAATATGCTGTGATTCAGTGAATCATATACTCTCATACAGAACTGCAGCTTTCGGTTGGTCGGTCGGTCGCATTCATTCCGTCACTCACCCAACCACCCAACCACCCACCAACAAACCAAACTCACTAATTCACTAATATTTCCTAACCTGTTTATTTCGCAACATGTGTTAAAACACTGTAGCCATATGTCTACAAAAAATGTTTCTGGAACCATACAAATTCATGCGAATAAAACGTTTCAAAAACATTTCTGGAACATGTTTGAGGGAAGCTTTTTCATATTTATATTTTTTGGATACACATATAAAATTGTTTTCATTCATAATTTGTGGTATATGATATGAAATATAACAAATATGTAACCATCGCGGAGTTGTGAAGCGAGCACATAATAATTGATAAAGCACACAACAGGCCAATAGAATGCCGATAAAGTATGCCGAACTTGGCCCGATGCCAGGCCGATGCAGGGCCATTGAAGTTTGCCAACGTTAGGCCGATGTCGATCGGATGAGCAAAACTTCATCGGCCAGATGAAGTTTGCCGACTTGGGGCCGAGGATGCACATTCCTTCACTAAAACAACACCCAAACCAACCACCCACTCACTCACTCATCCAGGCCCACTCACTCAGTCACTCAAAACTAAAACAAGGACTGGTCGACGGAAAGTTATTACCCAAATGTCTACTCCTTACCTGTAGGTAACTCTGCTGGTTCCAGTACGATGGCATTGTATGCTTTAGAATCTGGCACATATTTCGGCCTCTCTGTTGGGGAGAACGTGACTGACCTGACCATTCCAGCTGCCTCGATACTATCACGAAGATGATGTATGTTTGCCTCCACAAAGTTCACACCAGTCATGACAAAGGATACCTCTTGTGGCGTCTCGTCCAACATGGCTCTCAAAGAGGCAGCTGAAGACCCCATCACTTGAAGATCATCTATCCTATCAGCTTTACTTCTCATTAGTTTTGTGTATTCAGTGGAAGATTTTACTCTTGCCTGCAAAACTCTTGTTAACTCCAGGGTCTCCTCTGTCAGGTGAAGATTATGAGCAGATTTATGTTCAACATCTGACAAGAGGACTGACCTCCGTTGCTTCAGCTCACTGGCTAGATCGTCAAAAGTTTTGTTGATATCATCTATGGCAACCCTCTTGGACATTTGGATGTTCTCTAGCTTCTGAATCAATTCTGCTTCTGTTTTTCTCAGTGTCTCTGACTTCACATACATCTTCACAAAAACGTCTTCTAAGGATTTTGACAGTTCTTGGTGTGCCTCATCCACAGACACAACATTATGTCCCTTCCCTTTATCGTGACCTACTACAGTGCATGAAACACAGACGACCTTGGTACAAGTGTGGCAGTAGAACTGTAGAGGCAGCTGGTGTTGACTACACTGATGTCGACGACGGAAACTCTGCACAGGTCGCCCCTTCATCTCATCAAAGGTAACTATTGTGTGTGTCTTTGTTGTTACATTCCTCCTGTGGGCATTCAGACAGGTAGAACAGAGAAATACCCCACAGTTGTCACACTGGGCTTGAGCTGTTTCCTTGTCAGGACAGTCTGTACATGGAAGATGAAGACCTTTCTGGATCTTGAGGTAGTCCAGAGTCTTCAGGATGACCGTCTCTTTGGGTAGGGATTTCACTCCACCAGGCAGATTATGTTGGTGTCGACATATGGGGCAGGATATGGCTTTGTTGCCTCCACTGTAGACTTCCAGACAGGGCTGACATATGGACTGGACACAGCATGGCATACGACGAGGAATTCGTATTGTGTCATCAAAGTGTTCTGTGCATAATGGACACTCTGTCAGAAGATCTTTGATCGCAGCCACTGAGACAAGATTCGCCATGTTTGTCTGGCAAAAGACATAATGATCATTATTATTGGAAATGAATTTCCTTTTATGGAATTGATAGATATGACAAATAATATGACTAAAAAGTGACACAGAGGGCTGGGTGCAATAAAGTGTTGTAGGATCAGTTTCTAGAATCAGACACAGAGAAGTTTTTTGATGGCAGCCACTGAGACAAGATCTGACATGGTTGCCTGGCAAAAAACATAATGGTCACTGTTATGAGGCAGTGTTGGACCTGGTCATGTACATTCTACCTGTTGACATGCGGAAAGGGGCAATGGTGTGCTCTATATTTAGACTTGTGCTATGTTTAGACAGAGTTCTGGAAGATAATACAACCGTCATCTAATGTGGAGAACGTTATAGAAAGGTCTAGTAACCTTTTCATATGTATACAAGGGGATGCCTTGCATCTCACTTTACATCTCAAGTTACAAGATACAATGTATTATGAGAGGATCATATCTCAACCTGGATATTCAGTCTCGGCCTTTTATAGATACTTGGCCATTGTTGCAGTGAGGTGAATATTACTATAACTGACCTTAATTGCTTTAATTACTGCAATTACTGTAATACCTTTGTAGTTTTTTGTTAATTTCTAAGTTTTGATGATGTTAGAATACATATGTCACACTTGTCTATTTTTGCTTGTTTTCGGCTAACTAACTACCGGTTTACCGGTATTTCCCAGTTCAGATATGACAACGATACGTATTGCGATAGGCTGATTGAAAACCGGTATTTTTACATGAATTCAATAAACAAATATTATTTACATTTATATTTTGTCATAAAAGTTTTTATTAAGTTTAATCAAGCATAGTGCTTTTGTTGTTTGTTTGCTTTATAAATCAAGCATTAACTCGGTTATAAGTAGTTTTTGTTTAAACAAATCTTCTTACAATATATTGCAATACATATCCAAATATATGCTTTCACTTCGAAAGATATCACAATATGAAACTTTTCGGCAATACCCACCCCTACTAACTACAATGAACTTTCATGTGTCAAACAATCTTTGACAGGATACCAGGGTGACCTGTGCCATATACCTGCTGATAGGAACCAGGAAGTCGGTATTCAGAAAAAGTAATTTAAGTACCTCGCAAACAGAAAGTATGATGTAAGATCAGATCAAAACTCCAGACAGCTTACGAAAAGAAAGAAAAGTGAAAGGAGCAAAATTGGTCTTCAGCAACCCTTAAGAAGGTCAGGGTCGCTGACTTGGTGTACACATACCACCGTATCCTAAATGCGTAGATCGATGCTCATGATGTTGATCACTGGATTGTCTGGTCCAGACTTGATTATTTACAGACCGCGCCATAGACGTGCAATGTTGCTGAGTGCGGCGTTAAACATCTAACAAACCAGGGCGACCTATACAGTAAATATCATTCACATGTCGGTAACAACCAGGAAGTAACTCGACATTGACACCAACCTGTAAAATCACTCCTCGAACAGAATATCTGATACAACCAAAACGTTGTTTAATTCCTAATGAAACTATATTATCCACATTAGATAATGTTTCTTACCTTTCGGGAACAACAGTAGAGCTGGGTTTAAGTTAGACGTCTACATACACGTATACATACACAACCTGTCCTACGTCATCTGCACACGCGCAGTAGCTACTTTCGTTTTGAGAACAATGGCATGAATAACACAAATAGAATGTGCAGTCTTACAACTGGGGATATGTAGGTCAGCTGTAAACTGTGCACTTAGATCACGTCTTGTGGGTTGCCACAGATACAGACTTAACCACAATAGCGGGTTTGAAAGACGAAAAGCTGTGAAGCTGGATAAACAAGCTGATGAGAGACCGTTCATAATTTATGGCTTGGGTGGTGAGATGTGGGGTGGTGATGATTTTTGTGGAGGAGTATGTACAATGTGAATGCTCCCCCCCCCTACAATTATGTACAATGTACCTGCATATTATGTACAAAATCAATGATCACCCCCTACTTATGAGGCATAATGTCTAAGCATATTTTTTAAACATTCATGTGTACAAAATTACTGACCCCACTACTACATCTGTACAAAATTGTTATACCAAGAACAAAATGGGTGACCCCCTAAAATCATCACCAACCAACCAACCACAAGCCCCCACCCCACCCTCACCCCCACACACCTCACACACCCATTGAGCACCATGAAAGCAACACCTTGAAGCCAGCGAGTACTAATGCTACCACGTACAACCCCTGCGAATCAAATACTAAACAACACCACAAATTAAGACATATTGTTTATCGATCATATAACCACAAACTATAATCAGTTGGTTTTTACAGTGGTACTGTGTATGGGTTTTGATGAATATTACTCAACCCCCAATAATAATGATAATAATGACCCTTCATGAAGCGCCTGTTTCCACGCACATGTGCATGTTCAAAGCGCTAACGCATTATTACCCTGGATAATCCAAACTGTCTGTGAGGCGGTAGAAGGTTAATAGTCTTATCTGACCGCGTTCCCATTTTCTGCTGGGTGAACAGAAGCAATTTTGAATAAACTCACCTGCCTAAGGTGAGACCATGTGCTTCGTTGTGGGGCAGGACTTAAGTCCTCGAAACTAGAGTCGAGCTGCCAAACACGGTCACCCATCCAAGGACTCTTCAATACATAACAGATTCGTGAGCATGACTGACCCAGTCGTCTGAGAAGCTGCAACTCACTGTACAGAGTTGCTTCCCTTGGGGATGCTTTATCTCTATGCCTGTGGGTTCGAATCACAGTTTACCTATGTGTGTAGGTTTATCGGTACCATATCCATGAACCCGTGAAGGTCCGGGTTAGAATATTGGCCATCATTAACCTATGCTTGTCGTAAAAGGCGACTAACGGGATCGGGGGGTGAGACTCGCTGACTTGGTTGACACATGTCATGGGTTCCCAATTGCGCGGATCGATGCTCATGGTGTTGATAACAGGATTATTTACAGACCGCCGCCATATAGCTGGAATATTGCTGAGTGCGGCGTAAAACTAAACTCACTCACTCACCATATCCATGATATGCTTTTAATGCGCTGGTCAACACAAATCCCATACTTTGAGTATTTTGGGGGGGTTAATATAATGGTAACACAAATCACCCATTTTCAATTTAAAAGTGTTGTCATTCGGCAAAAAGAGATAATACTGCACGTGAGTTGGATGTAGATGAAAAAGTAAAGCTGAATCGATATTAAACGAATCTTTAACAAACCAAACAAAGATTGCTCTTCTGCTGAACTTATTTATGAGGCCTGTTTCACAAAGTAATCTTGGCGCTACGACGCTGAGGTGTCCCAAATACCATAATTGTAGCCTTTGTAAAACAGGCCGGGAAGTGAACAGTTTACAGAATCGGGCTAGGATACACTGGTGATTATTTTTGTGATAATCGCACACGAGCTTTCGTTGATTCTCAACGTTGATTGGTCAGCTAAGCAGGGAAGAAATATGATTGGTTGACGAAACTACTTTTTATGATCCAAGTTCATTGACAACTTTTACCGTTTCATTGATAATTAGAACGTGCTGTACTCACACATTCCGAGATTTAAAAAAGAAAACATAAAGATTAAAGAATATGAATACTCTATTTTTAGACATTATTGTTTTGCAATAAAATTGCGTTATAAATAGTAGTCTTTTTAAAATAAATAACCTTAAAACAACCAACACAATCGTTTGCATTGACACTTCGTCGCATTGATGACATAGCATAACATAGTACCATGCTGGCTGGTCGCATGGAACTCTGGGTAGGAGAGTGGTTTTGCATTGCTTGTAAACAAACATTGCCGTCGTAACCCCGATCAAGGTCAATGACCTAGTTAAAGTTGACGGTGACCTAATAGGAAGAGTGATAAGAATTTTACAACCCTTGAATTCCTACAACCTGATGACTTTTTTGATCCATGCATTCCTAATCAATCCGAGAGGTTTGTTCCAGTATCCGATGCAGAGATTGACACATTCCGACTAGAGTTATCCTTCTTGGAACTGCTGTACTCTACTGTGACGAGACTGTAACACGCCTTCCACAGAACAAAATGTTGTTTAATCTTCAAACTTGTTGAGTTTCTCGACAGAAAACTTTTCCTAGATGAATTCGTAGGATAGTTGTCTTTTAGATTTCTAAACTTTTAACCGTTGCCAAAGTGTGTTTCAACACTACACGTCACACGTCACTAGACACGCGTCAGTCGTGAATGAACGATGTTCCGGCGACTTGATCAAGTAACGTTTTAGCTGTTATTATGTTAAATGATATTGCACTTAAGAGATCATTTGCATCAAAGTAAAACATCGTAATAAATTATTCCATAAAACTAGTTTTGTTGCATTTTAAAGCGATTTTACGAGGTACTACTTTCCATAGCGTTGTTATGTTACTACCGCTGCAGAAGTTAGGTTTAATACGCGCATGAATACGGATCAGCTGTTTGAGGTCGCAAGTCCTGTCTCCGGGTGTTTTAACTTCGTGGTTCTTCTTTTTAAATTACAATATGGGTGATAAATAGAATCACCAACTTGATACGAGTGATTACGGGAAATACGCCCTCGTTAAGATAATGTTCAGTGTCTCGCCAAGGCCCGGCACTGTGAACATTATTTCATTTCGGCATATTCCCCCGTAATCACTCGTACCTCGTGGGTTATTTTCTAAGTCGTAGGTGTCACTGGCGTCAACTTACATGTCCTTGACCTTATGTAAGGTGACATCAAATCCTCAGTGTATGATGCATGGGATGCCACTGTTATCTGCTGAATTGTTCCTGAGTTTCTGTCTGATCCCGTGGGACTGATATAGATGAAGTCTGTTCCTGAGTTACCAAGGCAACGACAACCACAGAAACAGCAACAACACCTACGTCATTGACGGTGGTCACCGTCGTCAGCCGACAAAACCAACGGTTTGTGCTAGGATATCCTCAAGTCTTAAACTGGTGCAGAGAAAGTCACTACTCCCCACTAACTATTGTCGTGCATATAATAAATCACATTTACACACGGTAGGCACTACATACATGTATATTTTGATATACATTTACACGATAATGTTGGTTATTAAAAATCATTATATGTGTTGAATACGGTTCCGAAAGCCCAGGCTTTCACTCCATCTCAAAAGTGTCATTGACCAATGAACATGTTGCTGCTAATGCTGATCTTGCTTCAGCAATGAAAACACTTTGTACTCAAGCCCATAACCGTAGGCATATAGCATTGTTAAAGGAATTACATTTGTACGACAAGATAAAGATTTTCCTGCTTCAAATATAGCTCCGACATCGTGCCGAGTAATCGGCTCTGCGTTTGGGAGAGATTTGTTCTGAACATTGAATGGAGTTTGTGGTGGGCTAGCATGCTCACACACTGTCAACCAGCGGTTTGTCTGATTCGTTTGTTTCGATTCAACCATAGACCACGTGGCCCGAGGCAAGGTTGCCTACGAGGCGAATATATAGGTTTAATTAACAATGGGACATGCTTTGTGTGATATGGCCGTCACAGTGTCCCAGTCCTCCGAATCATCTGCAAGTTCATTAGATACACAGTTCTGGAGCATCTTCCATTAACACGAGGAAGAATCGGTTACTTTTACCAGTCCATTTCTATTTTAATCACTGTATTGTCATTTTTATCAGTTTATTGCATTACATGTTGATTCTCAAGTTGAAACGAAAAGGTCAAGTTGTGAAACCAGCATATCACACAAAAATGTAATGTGATTAACGAAAGTATACTCATGGAGACAAATAAGGGAACACATGGAAGTACAAGTGTCTTTGTACTTTCATGTGTTCCCTTTTTATTTTCTTGAGTATATTTTAAATCAACTAAGTTTACAAATTAATTCATCACTACAAGGTATCACCAAGGCAGTATGAAATAGAGTGGCAGTGTACATTCAAAAGTAACATAATACAAGAGCATTGCTTATAGGAACACAGAGACAGTGACGGAAATATTCGCGTCTCAGCAACAATAGTCCGACTTGCAACTATATCCCTAGGCAGGGTATAAGATCACCACACACAATTCTTGCCTTCTCGTAACTTGGGGTGTAATGTGAGCTAGGTAGATACGGTTGCAGGGCGACCTTTGGCCTAAAAGGCTTATATGTGTTATGTTATGCATTATATTTTGTTCAGTTAAATTACATCGTACTTACCCGTTTTAACGAGGAAGTCTAAAACAGCTGTTTGTATGCAACCATACATTAAATTATCGCCAAGTATTGCGTTCATTGTAAAAGTAGTTTGGGTTTTGTTCCGCGCAGTTTCTTTAAGAGCCTTACGTGGGTTTTCATGAGCTTGACATTCAATGAGGTAGAGCTGAACTGTTTCTGGGCAGTGTAAGTTATAGCTGTCACACAGAGGAGATAGGTCTTTATCTAAAATACTTATATATGCCTTTAATCCACAATGTCCCAGCCTGAGGCGATTTAAAACAACTCCATGTGTAATGTGAGATGAGAGACAAGAGTAAGCTCCCTTATATACTCAAGAACAAGTCAAGATATTTCTACAATACTCTCTGAGGCAGCGGATTTCGGAACCAGTACTTTCCAGATCTTTCTGTCCAAATCTAGTTCAAGTCTAAATATAGGAAATACAGACATAAGGTGTAATATTTGGATCATTATTACACAATGTATAACAATACCGCCACAAACCAAATGTCATTTTTATAAGTTCTATTGCGTTTCTCATGCTTATCAACCTCGCACCTGATTAATGTTGAACAGTCCTCGTAACGTCGATTTCGAGTACCTATCAGAACACCATAATTATGTTCTGATATTATTTAGAAACTGTGGCAGTAATTATTCTAGCATAAAAACAATTAGACCAACGATCTCGCGGTATGATATGATATGATAACAATAATCTAAAAATTAGGTTGCATAATTCTGGATTCTTTTTCATTTTTTATACAATTCATTTCATTACAATATGCCGTTCAGTAATTGATGAACGAAGGAAACATTTTCTTGTGAATGTGTAGATTATTAATTTAAACCATGAAGATAATAATGAAACCCTCCATATATGTTCTTTACACAATATACAGGTCCTCAGAAAACATATTGCAATACGTATCGTTTGAAAGGCAAATGGCATATTGCAATACGCATCGTTTGAAAAGCATACGGGGATATACCGGTATACTGGTAATACCGTGCAGTCCTAATACCCAGTACACTGGAGAATGACCCACTACGTAGTGTTGTTGTTTGTTGTTGTTTTACGCTGCACTCAGCAGTATTCCAGCTATATGGTGGCGTCTGTACATTAACGCGACTGGACCAGACAATCCAGTGATCAACAGCATGAGCATCGAGCTACGCAACTGGGAACCGATGACATGTGTCAACCAAGTCAGCGAGCCTGACCTCCCGATCCCGTTAGTCGCCTCTAACGACAAGCATGGGTAACTGAAGGTCAATTCTAACCAGATCTTCACGGGTCCACTAGCACATATTAATGTCGATAAAGCATTTCTATTTATCTCAAGATTAAGGTTGGCTCCTCCAGGTGTTTGTTCTCATCTATACTTATACACATATGCTTGTAATTGTTAACACTGTAACACTTCCACCCAAGCAATGACGTGGGTAGTGGCTCTGTGTCTGGGGCTGTTGTTGCCCCTGGGACACTCCAAGACAGTCCACATCTATGTCAGCCCCAAGGGATCAGACGGGAACTCGGGGTAAGAGCTTGGTTTTGGAGGGATGAATCATGGCGAAGGGGTTTTATTCGGTGTCAGACTCGATTTGCCGGGACAGAAATGAAATATCTTAGCTAAAGAAAGTATACCGCTCAGTTGATTTTACATGGTTGATTTTTAATACAGATTATTTTAATTTAGCAATATCATATCCAAACAACGACCTGCATTTTTTTTAGAATTATTTCTGCGTGGCTTGATTTACCAAAAGAATGTTTAACACAAAAATATGAACCTTAAACAATTTCAGTCATCTTATCTTTAAACATTTCATAAATTGTTCAACTGTTTTCGACACAAAGTTACATTTCAAACACAACAGGGATCATATGGTAGCAAATTAAACAGTCTTGTTAAACCATCTTAAACACAAAGCTATGTGTTAATTTCTTAGGACTTTGGAACACAGTTTCATTTTAAATTGGGTATCAAAGGTGTTGGCGTTGGACAAAAACCTATCTGTACATTTTGTCATTGCGACGGGATAGCTGTAGTTATTCCAAAGGTACCTCACTCTGCTGAGACAACACAGCAGGTTTGCATACACACACATCGTCACAACGTACAGCGTCCGGTCAACTACTATCTCATTTTCTGTGATGGATATATGCTAAGTTAAAAAGCAGGGAAGATTCCATTTTGAGGAGATGTTAATTGGGAACCACGCTGTATGTATGTACATGGATTTAGAACATGATTATTCCATTCACAAAGTGTTATGCATTTCGTGAAAACACGCCAAGAGTTTAAGCTCGTGCACATGGTCATGGAAAATATTAACATTTACAGTGAAACGCGTCAGTGTACCGATGTACATTACACTGATAAAACAATGAGTGGAGGTTGATCTGATATTTCCTTTAACCCAATGAAAACCTATCTGACGAGTTGAGTACATTGAGTAAGTGAGTGTTTGAGTTAGTGGAGTGAGTGATTGGGTGGAGTGAGTTAGTGGACAGAGTGAGTGAATGAAGTATGTGAGTCACTCACTCACTCACTCACTCACTCAGTCACTCAGTCACTCAGTCAGTTGACGCCACTTTAAACGGCATTTCATCTTGTGAGATTCCCACAATGGTGAAACCAACGAGTCCGGTTATGGTGCAAACAGACTCGTAAACATGATTAGGACCACATGGGACACGGGCGCACAACTAAATGCTACATTTTAGATTGAGACTCCATGTAGCCTCACGCCGTCTGAAGACCCATATCACCTTTCCGATTACCTCTCAGAATCCAATCCTATCACAACACGACCTCCGGATTTTTAAAAAGGTTTTAGGCCCTCGATCATAATACCGAAAGGGAATTATTATATTGTGCTATGCAAATTGATCCAAAAGGGCGCCCAATGAGTTACATTGAACGTGCCTTCTATCAGGTTTGTTTCCCCGCAAACCGTTGCAACCCGGAAAAAAAGATGCAAAGAAAGTGCCAACGTCTGCCAAAGCCCCACCCTTCCTTTCCACTAAGCATGTGTATACCAGTTTTATGTGCCCAGATTGGATGCTTCCCACCCGATTGCCACCCTGGACAAAGCCAGGCAGTTACTGGACAGCAGTGGCATCAAGGACAACAGTGAGTAGGTTCTGAAGCTCACCTTTCAAATATTTCTTCCAAATATATGTGCGTATAAGTATAAGAAACACTTTTTATCTTTTAACCCTGTTACAATATCAGACTGACAAAGTTTCATGGGAGTTTTCGTCATTCCTCCAACATTTTCTTCGCCCTGTAGCGGTGTACGTGGAGCTGATGGGCGGCTACCACAACCTGCACTCCACCCTACACTTCACACACGCCTACTCCCAGCCTGTCACCTTCAGAGCCTACCAGGACCAGGAGGTCCACGTGGTGAGTGGGGACACACGAGTTGAATGGGAAGATCTTCGTGGTGAGTTGGGAGGTCAATGTGGTGAGTTGGGAGGTCCACGTGGTGAGTGGGGACGCACGGTTTGAGTGGGACGATCTACGTGGTGAGTTGGGAGGTCCACGTGGTGAGTGGGGACACACGAGGTGACTGGGGAGGTCCACGTGGTGAGTGGGGACGCACGAGGTGACTGGGGAGGTCCATGTGGTGAGTGGGGACACACGAGATGACTGGGGAGGTCCACGTGGTGAGTGGGGACGCACGAGATGACTGATGACTGGGAGGTCCACGTGGTGAGTGGGGACACACGAGATGACAGGGGAGGTTCACGTGGTGAGTGGGGACACACGAGATGACTGGGGAGGTCCACGTGGTGAGTGGGGACACACGAGATGACTAGGGAGGTCCACGTGGTGAGTGGGGACACACGAAATGACTGGGGAGGTCCACGTGGTGAGTGGGGACGCACGAGATGACTGGGGAGGTCCACGTGGTGAGTGGGGACACACGAGGTGACAGGGGAGGTCCACGTGGTGAGTGGGGACACACGAGATGACTGGGGAGGTCCACGTGGTGAGTGGGGACACACGAGATGACTGGGGAGGTCCACGTGGTGAGTGGGGACGCAGGAGATGACTGGGGAGGTCCACGTGGTGGTGGTGAGTGGGGACGTGAGTGGGGACACATGAGATGACAGGGGAGGTCCACGTGGTGAGTGGGGACACACGAGATGACTGGGAAGGTCCACGTGGTGAGTGGGGACACACACGAGATGACTGGGGAGGTCCACGTGGTGAGTGGGGACGCACGAGAGATGACTGGGGACACACGAGATGGGAGGTCCACGTGGTGAGTGGGGACGCACGAGATGACATGGGGAGGTCCACGTGGTGAGTGGGGACACACGAGATGACTGGGGAGGTCCACGTGGTGAGTGGGGACGCACGAGGTGACTGGGGAGGTCCACGTGGTGAGTGGGGACGCACGAAATGACTGGGGAGGTCTACATGGCGAGTGGGGACACACGAAATGACTGGGGAGGTCTACGTGGTGAGTGGGGACACACGAGATTGCTGAGGAGCTCCACGCGGTGTGGGGAAGTCCACGTGGTGAATGGTGAGATAGAAGTGGTGAGTGAGGAGGGTCACGTGAGGAGGACATCCATGTTGTGAATGAGGAGGTCAGCATGGTGAGTGGAGAGATCCACCTGGTGAATGAGGAGAGTCATGTGGTGAATGAGGAGATCCACGTGGTTAACGAGGAGATCCACGTGGTGAGTGAGGAGGTCCACGTGGTGAGTGAAGAGACCCACGTTGTCAGTGGAGAGGTCCACGTTGAGAGTGTCCACAGAACAGAATAAATATTGCACTCAACTTTATCGTCGACTTCCGGGTTTCAAAAGGTGAGGAATACTGAGTATTTGGAGAATGAAGGACCAAAGAACTATCTGTTGGAATTCATGTTACATATGATTTCCCCAAGCTAGGAATTGCCTAGCAAACACAATGAAAGGAAATGAACTAAGTGTGAAACTTTTGTTACGTAATAGACACTTTGCGTTAATCGTGTTCTTGTGTTACCAGACAGGAGGCAAGAAGATCTCAACAAGCCTGTTTACCCACGTGACAGACAGCAGCGTGCTCAATATGCTGCCTTCAAGTTCAAGGTCAAAGGTACAATCATTCTTCTTCAAATTAAAATAACGTTTTTGTATTTGCATTGATAGTCTCCATCATATAGGAGTGAGGTTCGGTTTTACGCCGCTTTTAGCAATTTTTCAGCAATATCAAGGCGGGTGACACCCGAAACAGGCTTCACACATTTTACCCATGTGGGATCTTCGGCATTACAAGCGGGCGCTTTAACCACTAGGATACCCGACCGCCCTTCGCTCTCATGGGAAGATTTACAGACTAGCCTATTATTACTGAACTGTTGTAAATATGTAAGCTCATACAAAACGTATACAACGGTGAATATTGCAATAGAACAGGTTCCAAAGAACAACACCATTGAGAGGTCATCCAGAATATTTGGTAAACATTATACTAATATACATTTTAGTGCTTTCCTTATTTTTACTTTAATCATCTCTATTTTATTATAAACAAACTGTGCATACCCGTAACGCTGTTTCAAATATACAGCACACCGTTATGTCAAAAGAGCATTTCCGAGCGGCTATTGATTGTCTCTGTTTCAGGTGATGCAGGTGCATCTACCTAGTGCCGGTGTCACCGACTACGGCAAGATGACCAACTTCGGCTTTTACCGGTCCAGGACTGCATGGCTGGAGATCTTCATCAACGGGGAGCCTGCCAGATTGGCCCAGTACCCGAATGAGGTAGGAAGAGAGATCTGGGAGAGTTGTCTGAATTGTTGATATTGGCATTCATCGTGATTCTATTTTTACCATTCATACGCCGACTAGAAGTGTATTGATAATATACTCATGCCAATAATGGTTGTCACCCCCTTCCCCACCCCAACCCCACACACCTCACACCCACACCCCACCCCTCTCCAATTAAATATTTTTAAAGGGGTGGCAACCATTATTGGCATGAGTATTTTATAATACACTTCTAGTCGGCGTATATTACACAGCTGTAATGGTTGACACCTTGAAATAAATTCCGCAGAAATTCCTGAACATCAATTCAGTTCCTGGCGGTAGGCATGGCAAAGTGTTCACCTACAGCACCCACGAAGACTCCAGATGGGTGCACGAGAAGGAACCCTGGGCTTACGGATTCTGGTAACATTAGACAGGACTTCCACTTTAGTATTGGAGATGAGGAATGTCTAAACCAATGCTTTAGAATATAGTCACATAGTCATAGATTGTAAATTACCCTCTCAGTTCGGATAGGCTCAGTGAATTATATGTTGGGGCAATGACTTTGGGTACAGCATGATATAGCAGGCTTTAATGGGAAGTAGTAGTTTGGGTCGGGTGTCGTAATTAAAATTCACCGCCTCCGTGGTGTAGTGGTTAGAGCGTCTGCCCGGTGAGCGGAAGGTTACGGGTTCGATCCCCGACCGCTTCATACCAGAAGACATTAAAATATGGTACTTGTTGGTCCCTGCCTGGCACTCGGCATTAATGGATACAACAAGGATTGGTCGGCTCGGAGTCAGTATAATGTGTGGGGTATTCATGCTTCACTGTGGCATGGTATCTCAGTGGGCTAGCACTATAAAACCAGCTTAAATCTGGGCTAGTACAAGCAGCCGCACATACACATACACACGCATGCACGCCGTCATATAAAGCAAAATATTCTCAAGCACCACGTAAAACCCAATTTCACCTCACCGAAACAGGTATTCTTCTAATCCGGGGTCGAATGCCTTGTTGAGACGACCAAAGAGGTAAGAATGTCATCCAAGGTATGCTTCCACGAAATACCACATACATGTATGGACCTGAATTTATTGAATACATATCCAGCATTTGCTGGAACTTGGTGGGAAGTGTAAAGTGGACTGGTGTTTGGTTGTTTTGGGGGTCGACAGTAGTGTTTGACATCAGGATTGTCCAGAATTAGCTACAATTCGGAGGGAAATTGTGAAATGGATTTAGTGGTGATGTGGGTTAGGTGTTGGCCAGGATTGGTGTTTGGTGTTTGGTACCGGTGACATGTCAAGAATGACATCTGAAGCTGTAAGACATGCTTCTATCTGCCCAGGTACTGGAGCTGGGCGGACGATGCTGCAAGGATCAGTCACATTGACTCCAACAAACATCAGATCACTCTGGCAAATGACACACACTATGGACTCAGAGTAGGTCAGCGTGAACTTAGAGCCTTACATTTTATGTTTCTCTAAAATATGACTGACACTTCTGAAGAAGGAACATGTGTTGGTCTTTATACAGATTGACCAAGTATCGATTCGCATTATCAGTCTGTTTTTGTAACGATTTCACGTTATCTATCCGTTACTCGTCTTTTCTTTTAAAAAGACAAAAGAACAAATAAAAACAACTCGCTGAAATGGTTTTTTCATGTTTGCAAATTTATGAGACATTATCACAGACGGAAAATAGACATTGTATATAGTGTTGTTGATTATGTCCAGGTCATTACAACCCGGCCCATCTGGCCGGATATTACACTCAGGGTGGCTACTTCCGGGTATTCAACATGCTCTCAGAGCTGGATCAACCGGTGAGAAGATCTTCCTCCTCTTCCCCTCCTCCTCCTCATCATCAGCAACAACAGCAGCAGCATCGTCATCGTCATTGTCATCAACGTATTATGCCTCACTCGCCATCTGTATTGTCACTGCCAAACCATTCTTGAAATATGAAAACATATACAACTTAGAAAGCAACGATCTACATGTTTTACCGGTTGCCTCATGAAAACACCTTTTTAAGTTACCAGTCTATAATACTGTTTTGTCCTCGGTTAATACATTGTGTTATCCTTCTCTACAGGGAGAGTACTATCTGGACAGGTCCAATGGCAACCTGTACATCTGGCCCAACACAAAGTCGGGTACCTTAGCTTCCTCTGATGACGTCACCGTCTCTCTCATCAACGACTGCATTAGGTACGTCAACTAGAAGGGTTATATATTAATCAAAAGGACAGTGGCTTTTGATAAATTGATTTTGTTATTTTAATGTACAGCTAATTTGTTCCAAAATCGGGAACACCTGAAGGTATGATGTAAATCCAGCAAGGGTCCATGTAGGTAGCAAAGGTGGTCGTTAGTATGCTGATCTGCCTCATCAGTTACTGATGCTCTAGAGCCAGTTTTTTATATTGTATTGTTCTATTTAATGATATCCGTCTATGACAACATGCCAGTTTTCATGTTCATTATCTTCAAAATGTATTTATATTTAATATATGAATTGTTCTCGTCACTATATGGCTGAAGTATTGCCGATCTTAACTCACTCACTGTAATCAAGCTATATTTTGCACGCTTTCAGTATTACTAATGCTGATTATATATTACTGATATTATACGTGGTTGATTAGGATCCCTGTATTCGCTTTTCTGAAATCAAATCAACTGAGCAAATCAGTATGTAAATTTCAGATAGGCAAAAATAAATTTCCGATATCATATACATGTATTTACCACTGGCAGCATGAACCGGGGGGTGGGAAATCTCAATTTTGTGGGGTTCACCTTGGAGGCGTGTCGTCACGAAGGCATCAGAGGAGACGGTCTACACAACATCAACATTCAAAACATGGACATACAAAATTTGGGTGAGTTGTTTCGGGGAGAATCCGTTTCAACTAGCAGGGTCTGGAAGGACCTATTGGCGTATTTATCTCGATTAATTTTAGTCGACAGTCTTAATACTGTAATACTGCTGAGACCCCAAAAATTACCGTGTTATATTACTTTTCCGTTTGTCTTAAAATCTTAAACAATAGACTTGGGCTAAGTGATGTGATGTAATAAACGAAGACCAAGCAGGATACACTACCACTGATAATACCTTTACCTTGGTAGCACTTATCAGCGAATAACTCTCAAAAATAGGGTGAAATTGTATGCCTGTTTTTATGATTTTTCCAAAGCCTTTGATTCTGTCAACAGATAAAAGCTTTGGAATTTATTTGTGCGTTGTGATACAGCGTTGCGGTCTGTGTACCAAAATGTGAAAGCATGTGTACATGGACAAAATGGACATACAGAAACTTTTAAATATACCCCATAGGGGCAGGGCAAGGTTGTGTTCTTGCTCCGTTTGTGTCTTCGTTTTTCATAGATGAATTACCAAAGAAAATCACGTCTACTTGTACAAAAGGTATTCAGTTATTCCCAGACTTACTCGAGCTGTTCCTTTCACTTATTGATGATGTTGTTCTGTTTTCTGATATATTAACTGATACTCCAAAAGCAAATGGTAATCTTAGACATATATTTGCAAAACATTGTGTCTCCATGTAAAATCAAACTGGACAAGAATTGCTGCATGAAACAAAAAAAATTGGCCTGTTGTTTTCTTGAAATCTCCCTGGTAATTATCGATAAAATGTCTGTCTCTTAAAGCCGAAAACGTTGTCACAATACTGCATACTAAAGTCAACAGAAAATGCCCAGCTTCAAAATATTGCTACGTTTAGACCTCATGTACTGTCAAAAACGTAAACGTGCCTGACAATCTGTTAGCATATTCTTAATATCTTATCATCAGGTTCATATGGCGTCCACATCACCGGAAGTAGTCATATTGTCGTATCCAGATGTAACATCCATTCTACCAACGGAGGTGTCGCCATCAACGGTAACAAAGCAGTTCACGATTTTATTGATCTGATGCATAGCGCGATTGGTTATAATTATTGCATGAAGTACTGATTTAATAATCTAACTCAAATACGAAAATCATTTTCTTATGCATGATTGATTATACCATTTTTGAAAGATCAGAAGTGTGGGAACCTCTGCGGGGAATTTCCGGCATCGTTCTTTACCGATTTCTATATTTTAAATTTTCAGGTGGTAATCAAAAGACCTTAACGTCTTCTGGAAATATAATAGAAGACAACCATATTTGGTTGGTCGCCCGTGTGGGAGCTGTTGGATACAATGCTGTGTCTATCGGTGGCGTCGGCAACGTGGTCCGTTACAACCACCTACATGATGGCCAATACACCGGACTGATGTGGGGGGTACGCCAAGCACTTATTAAACCTATTTTTGTCATTTTGATCAATACATCAATTCAGTCGGGTATTTAAATACCATTAATGTATCAGTTTTTCTTTTTAAGTGGTTTAAAGAAACCTACGTGTTTTTATACTCACAATAAAATAAAATAAAATACAAATGCTTATTTAAATGAATAAGTGCCATACAGCTTAACAGAGCTGCAGCGGGGTAAATACTAAACATAAGTATACCATATCATAATAATATTAACTAAATACAAACAAGACAAACAGAGTAAAAGTGATATATTAGTTTCGTATTTTTTTCAAATACGAAATAAATAAAGCTAAGGTTTTGTTTAAGTTTCGTATAATTACTACTGATTGTAAACTGTAGTAAACTTTGGATGAGACCTAGACACATGAAGAGATCACTCTGCATTCTACCAGTTAGAGAGAACACTTGGATTACGGACAATAAGTTGGATTTAACTGTCTCAGTCTTTGACGGCATGTAGTTAAATACAACCGATAAAAAAAATATTTCCACATTATAATACATTTGTGCTCAAAGAAGCGTAGAGTCTAAGCACCACCCTTTATCCAGATATATTTACCATCACTGTGGAGCAGTGATATTTGTTCCCGAAAAGATAACCCATAATCTCATCGGTGGCAGCTGTCACAAACACATGCAAAGGCAAGTCAACTGTTCACATGTGAAAAACATCAATACGGGAAGATATGGTACAAGGCAATGTAATGAGTTGCGTAGAACGTACTTGTTTTTCATTCATGCGTCAAATATGGAAACCGCTGACAACTATATTGAAACCAAGGATGCTGCAACCCTGTTTAAAATATGTCAAAGACCCAAATCATTCCACATGCCTGAGAGCAATGGGGTATCCACTAGGCTTCATTCTTAAAAAACATTTAAACCACTGTCTGGTATTGTTTGGTTATTGCTTTCGACCTTTTTGGCCAATTCACTCACTTTGATATGCCCGATGTACATTTTAATAACATAATTTAGATTTAATAACAGAATAGTTACTCGGTTGCCAGGGTAACGACAACATAATGGAATACAACCATATCCACCACATGTGTGTCAATACCAGCGATTGTGGCGCGGTGCATGCTGGGAGAGACTGGACCGCTGTAAGTACAACCCTGAATGAAGAATGTTATCAAAATGTGTAATACTGAGAAAATGTTCATTGTGTAGGTGTTATACGTTACTGTTCCGGGGTCCTTGTCCAAATGTCTTTTTGTTGGTTGGTTGGCTGTTCAACGCCGCACTCCAGCTATGCGGTCTGTATATAATCGAGTCTGGACCAGACAATCCAGTGATCAACAGCTTGACCATCGATCTACGCAATTGGGATACGATGACATGTGTTAACCAAATCAGCGAGTCTGATCTTCCGATGCCTCGACAAACATGGGTTACTGAAGACCAATTCTAACCCGGATCTTCACGGGTGCCAAACGTCTGCAGAGTCACTCACCAGTCCATTCATTCCTATAATTCGTGTATTTGTCTATGTGTTATTTACAGCCGCTCTTAACAATGTTTTGGATTGATGACTTCCGTATCTAATAATAGAAAAGTCTCGACCAGACAATCTAGTGACTGATATCATGAGCATCGACCTGCACAATCGAGATACGATGACATGTGTCAACGAAGTCAGTGAGAGTCACCATTTGGTCCTGTTAAACACTTCCTACGACAGCATGGGTTGCTCAAGACCAATATTTAATTTAAATCTTCGCTCGTATTTTCTCTTATACTAAACACGATGATTATTTGTATATTGATAACAATTTTCTACAGCGCGGCAACGTCATCCGATACAACCACATTCACCACGTCTTGAGGCACATGCCAGGTGCAGATAACAGGGGCATCATGCTGGACGACCAGTTCTCCGGCGTCCACATCGAACACAACGTCTTCTACGAGGTAGGTAGTTTGACTCAGATGGTCTTCTACGAGGTCGATAGTTTGGCTCAGATGGTCTTCTACGAGGTAGGTAGCTTGACTCAGATGGTCTTTTACGGGGTAGGTAGTTGGACTCAGAGCTCGATGGTCTTCTTCGAGGTAGGTAGCTTGACTCAGATGGTCTTCTACGTTGTAGATAGCTTGACTCAGATGGTCTTCTACGAGGTAGTTAGTTTGGCTCAGATGGTATTCTACGAGGTAGGTAGCTTGACTCAGATGGTATTCTACGAGGTAGGTAGTTGGACTCAGATGGTCTTCCACGAGGTAGGTAGCTTGACTCAGATGGTCTTCTTCGAGGTAAGTAGCTTGACTCAGATGGTCTTCTTCGAGGTAGGTAGCTTGACTCAGATGGTCTTCTACGTGGTAGGTAGTTTGACTCAGATGGTCTTCCACGTGGTAGGTAGCTTGACTCAGATGGTATTCTACGAGGTAGGTAGCTTGACTCAGATGGTCTTCTACGAGGTAGGTAGTTGGACTCAGATGGTCTTCTTCGAGGTAGGTAGCTTGACTCAGATGGTCTTCTACGAGGTAGGTAGTTTGACTCAGATGGTATTCTACGAGGTAGGTAGTTGGACTCGGATGGTCATCTACGAGGTAGGTAGCTTGACTCAGATGGTATTCTACAAGGTAGGTAGTTTGACTCAGATGGTCTTCTTCGAGGTAAGTAGCTTGACTCAGATGGTCTTCTTCGAGGTAGGTAGCTTGACTTAGATGGTCTTCTACGTTGTAGGTAGTTTGGTTCAGATGGTCTTCTACGTGGTAGGTTGTTTGGTTCAGATGGTCTTCTACGTGGTAGGTAGTTTGGCTCAGATGATCTTCTACGAGGTAGGTAGTCTGACTCAGATGGTCTTCTTCGAGGTAGGTAGCTTGACTCAGATGGTCTTCTACGTGGTAGGTAGTTTGACTCAGATGGTCTTCCACGTGGTAGGTAGCTTGACTCAGATGGTCTTCTACGTTGTAGGTAGTTTGAATCAGATGGTCTTCTTCGTTGTAGGTAGCTTGGCTCAGATGGTCTTTTACGAGGTAGCTAATTTGATTCAGATGGTCTTCCACGTGGTAGGTAGTTTGGCTCAGATGGTCTTCTACGTGGTAGGTTGTTTGGCTCAGATGGTCTTCTATGTGGTAGGTAGTTTGACTCAGATGGTCTTCCACGTGGTAGGTAGTTTGGCTCAGATGGTCTTCTACGTTGTACGTAGTTTGACTCAGATGGTCTTCTACGTTGTAGATAGTTTGACTCAGATGGTCTTCTACATGGTAGGTTGTTTGATCAGGCGGTGTCCACTCACTAACTCAGCAAATATGTTAAAATTAAGGACACGTATTTGTATATTAGGATTTGGAGGTGTCTGCCAAATGTAAACAAAACTGTATTTTGAATTGAATAACAACGATTAAGAAACAACATTCATCAAATGTGGCATAACTAATTACTGACAAGTCCAAACATCCATTACTCATATCGTGAACATTTTTTGAAAATCTTCAATTCAATTTATTTAAAAACTACCCTTACGACTTGGACATTTGGGCGGTTTTGAAATGTGCCAAGATGTCTGAAAGTTCGTACATTTTGTGCACCAAGAGTTGAAACAAAATATCATTTTCATCGTGTATGCTCAGCTTTCACCCAGATAAAAGAAAATATACCACGCAAAGTATTATTACAACAGGAACATTCGTAAGTTTAACATTTTAATGTCATTCATGAACCAACACAGTGAAATAAATCGAGCAAAATGTTTGTATTATGCTCATAAGGAATGAAACATGTATAAGTATTATTCCGCCTGGACTGTAATCTTCTGTACTAGTGTTTCCCACAGGATCACAAAAGGGCAGGGCGAAACAAAAGAGGCATGCAATGTCAGATTTCCAAGTATTATCTCAAGTTATTCATGAATAGGATTCTTAAAGGCTCAAAGAGCAAAATTAATTCACTTAAAGTCAACACATAGAATATAAACCAAAACCACCAAGTGTTGATGTCAATCATATTGAGTTCACTTATATTCTTCTGTTCTTCCTGGACATGCCAAGGGGAAAAGGAAAAGAGGCAGTGTGCCTTAGAAAAGGGGCAGGACGGAAAATATACTCTCCCAAAAAAGAAACGCATCATGAAAATAGCAATTTCATGTAGCAGTGAATTAAAGCGTGATTCATTTTACAAAAGGTTTTGCTCTGTTTATGAGTCCTATGGTGTTTATGTTTTGAAACATCACAACAAAACGCACCATCCGTAAAATACCCGTATTTAACAGCATGATTTTCAATTTCGGCGTGTAGTGTCACATAATACACAATTCACATGCAATGCACGTGAAAGTTGGGGATCAGATAGTCTCAATGATGGGTATAAAAGGTTGATCGCCATCTGTCGATTATTCACTGTGTTTGGAATATTGTTGACGAACGCAAAATGCCACGTCTAAGTGAAGCCAACCGTCATATCGCCATTGGTTTGCTTGAAGCTGACCAGTCTCAACGTGCAGTTGCCCGACTCATGAATGTTCACCAAAGCACCATTTCACGGCTCTGGGAGAGATATCGCCGGCAGAATGCGGTAGCAGATGCCCCTCGTAGTGGGCGACCTCGAGCAACCATTGCGGCGCAGGATCGCTACATCCGGGTACATCACCTGCGTCATCGAACAGCTACGGCAACCAGTACCGCTCGACAAATACCCGGATTGAGGAGGCTTTCTGCACAGACCGTCAGGAACAGGTTGAGAGAGGCTGGTTTATGTGCCAGAAGACCTTATTTTGGCCCTGTGCTTCGACAACAACATCGTCGACATCGATTTCAATGATGCACCAACGTTCAGGCCTGGAACCTAGCGAATTGGCGTAGATTCCACAGTGATGAATCACGATTTCTATTGGAAGAATGGAAGAATGCGGGTGTACAGACGTCGACGTGAACGTTTCGCCGACGCTTGCGTTCCCCTGGTGGACAGATTCGGCCGGGACAGTGTTATGATGTGGGGAGCGATCACCTGCCGTAGGAGAAGTGATTTGGTGATGATCCAGGGCAACCTGACAGCTCAACGGTACTGTGACGAAATCCTACGCCCACACCTCCTTCCAATCATTGATCGTCAGAGGGAGTTGTTTCAACAGGACAATGCCAGGCCCTACACAGCACGTCACACTAGAGACTTCCTCCAGAACCACAACATCAACGTGCTCCCCTGGCCCTCAAAATCACTTAAACTCGATCGAACATCTGTGGGATGCCCTGGACAGACGGGTGCGACGCCGTAACCCTCAGCCCCAGCACAGGCACTACAGGCAGAGTGGGCTGCGATTGGGCAACACGAGATTCTGAGATTTATTCGTTCGATGCCGAGGCGATGCCGTGCAGTTCTGGATGCTCACGGTGGTCACACGAGGTATTGACTTTAGCGCCACCACACGTCTCCATGTGACTCTCAAACTGACTTTCCTCGAGTTGGTGCCAAAAACGGATAAGTCTGCATTCCCAGTGTGCAATTTCGCTATATTTCATTGACTCATAAAGCCTACAAAATGTTTCAAAATATACATAAAAATACAGTTGAAATTCCTATATGCGTTTTCTTTTTGTGGGGAGTATATATACGGGTACGGCGCTGTGCCCTGCTAAAATTACCTTTGGGGAAACACTATGTGTATATGGGTCTGAAGCCTAAAGATACTGAAAATATTGGATTGAAATCCACACTCACCGACTGATCCGGGTAATTATAAAGTAGCGCTTCGATTAAACACTGTTAAAATACTGAAAGGTTGCATGTGGATTTTTATAAAAGCTTATTAGGAGTTAAGAAATCAACATATAATCCCATGGTTTATGCCGAGTTAGGTCGTTATCCGCTCATATTTAAAAGACAATATAGTATGATTAAATATTAGTGTAAGCTTCTTGTGTCTGAAAATAGCATTTTACGGGTTCTTTGAGTATTTGTATGAGGAGGTGGAGACCCGTGGTGTCAAAAATTGGGCGTATCAGGTTAAAAGTATTTTTTCAAACGTTGGATTAAGTGAAATATGGTTAAGGCAGGAATTACCAATAGATTATCTAATAGTTAGAAGTCAAAGAAAAAATAATCAGGCTATTAAGTTTATCTTTAGTATGCTGTCCAGCTCATCGAAATGCGCAATTTATATAAATATTATTAACCAGTGTCCAGATAACGGTAATAAACGAATCGAATACTATAACAATGTTTTGAAAAGAAATCTATCTACTCCCGACATGGATTATGCTTCCCGGCACCGTATCTTTAGCTTCGGCGGTACTCCCCTACTCCCTTGGAAATTAGCCTTCCCGGGAAATCTGAAAAATAAATTTTAGCCTTCCCGGCACGACACCTTAACATCTGCAACACACGGGTGTTTTATATGTTTCGTCTAGGGTGATGCTTCTTTCTGTACCCTCCATACGCTGGATTTCAATTTGCCCATATTATTTACAACGAATCGTTTTTAAATGTACACTGAAACAAAACATATTTCTGGTATATTCCACAATGAAATCCATATTGTCACATTGCATGAAACCATGGTAACGTAGTCTCAATTCTTTCTAGAATCAGTATCACGTCAACATTGGTGGTGGCCGTGACAACATCATACGTTATAACGTCTTCTACGACGCCACCAGCTACCCCGTCAACGTGGACGGCCGTGGTCTCCGGTCTACAAGCAACCAGGCGACTCTCCAAAATAAGTTGAAGGTAGGGATATAGGGTAGGGTGATAAATTACATGTAATGAATATTTGATTATGTTTTATACACATTTATTTGCCTGAAGTAAACAGTATAGGGTGACACGCTCTGCCAACATAGATTGCCCGCTTCCTGATGTTTACGTATTTCTACCTATTACAAAAAATATATGCACATGGAAAAAAGTATCGCAACACCTTTGATTTTAAGTCCCATACAGCCATCCATACACATAGCATAATTCTGTTTGTTTGCTTGTTTATTTTGACCATTCTCGCGCACCATCCATACATTTTATATATGCACGTGCTACGATCAACGTGAGCATCACGTGCAATACACGTATCCGTTATTAAGCAAATATCAAGTTTAAGCCAAATGTGCTTAAAGCTCGATAAGTTGGAAAATCAGTTGATTTTGTTGTTGATATGAAAATATTGGGCCTCCTTACCTGACAACTGGTCAAGATATTGGGATGGGGAATTCTGGCATGCCATTTTGGGCTTTACAACAAATGGTGGTTTTTCAAGCTTTGTTGAATGAACAGTTCTTTTCGCAATCTTTAGAGGTAAATATATCATGTTGGACTGCCTTAAATGTATATTTCACATTTTAGTCAGCTCTATATAAGACTGTACGTAATCAAGCCTCGATGAGACGACATTGTTTCTGTTTTCAGTCACTCCCCTACACCAGCAAGACGTGGGCAGACAAATATCCTAAACTGGCCGCCATCGACTCCCACAATCCCATGGCGCCGATGGGTGAGTGAGTGCGTGCGTGAGTGAGTGAGTTTAGGTTTACGCCTCGTTAAGCAATATTCCAGCACAATCGAGGCGAGCGACACCAGAAATGGGTTTCACACATGTTACCCATGTGGGGCATCGAACCAGGGCCTTTGGCGTGACAGGCGAACGCTTTAACCACTGGGCTACCCACCGCCCCCAATGGTAAAAGACATGTGTTACATTGTTCAGTAAGAAACGTTTAACTGTTTGGTACAGCCTGTAACATCTAATATCTACTGCTGTCATATTCTTAAATAGGTCTTATATTTGCTCATATTATGTATCTGATCAAAGAACTTTGGGTTTGTAGTGGGTCATTTGGAAACCTATTAAAAGCGTTCAGTGATCACCAAAATTCAACACAAGCTTGATGTCTTTTTTCTTCGTGTCTCCGATGTCTAATATTGCAAACACTACAGTGACTAACTCACTCACGCGTTCACACACTCACCTGTCCACTCATTGGGTAGTCAGGCTTGCTGACCTGGTTGACAAATGTCATCATATCCCAATCCATGTTCATGCTGTCGATCACTGGATTGTTTGATCCAGACTCGATTATTTACAAACCGCTGCCATAGAGCTAGAATATTGCTGAGTGCGGCGTAAAACTAAACTACACTCACTCACTCACCTACCCAACCACCATCCACCGACTCACTCATTCACTCATTCACTGTCTGTTTCCCAGGCAACCAAATCTACGACAATGCCTTCTACAACACGCGTGGGTCGAGCGTCGTCCAGTACCACACCTCTGGTATCATCAAGAGGGAATACTTTGATGTTCACGATAACTTCAAGGTAAACCTTAGTGGTTAGAGCGCCCGCCCGGAGAGCGGAAGGTGACGGGTTCGATACCCGGCCGAGTCATACCAAAATATGTTACAATATGGTACTTGTTGTTCCCTCCGCTCGGCATTAATGGTACAACTCAGAGTCAGTATAATGTGTCTGAGTGGGGTATTCATGCTTCACTGCGGCATGGTATCTTAGTGAGCTGGCACAATAAAACCAGCTTGTCTGACCTAGTACAAGCAGCCATACATACACACACGCATGCACGTCGTCACATGAGCGAAATATTCTTAAGAACGACGTTAAACCCCATTTCACCTCACCTCTTTTAAATTGTTTGATTCAATTACTTAAGTACCCGTGAAGATCCGGGATAGAATTGATCTTCCGTAACCCATGCTTGTCGTAAGAGGAGACTGACAGGATCGGGAGGTCAGGAGGTCAGAATGCTGACTTGGTTGATGCATATCATCGTATCCAAACAGCTTAGATCGATGTTCAAGGATGTCAATCACTAGACTGATCATTTACAGACTAACATAATACAGCGAGGAGCGTCAAACGACAAAATGAAAAAACAAATCTAAAACATCTGGTGTATTTATTCAAATTGTTTTCTTTGACAATCACTGGATGTTTCTGGCCCACATTTAGTCGTAATCCCTTCAGTTTTCAAGTTAATTACCTTGATGTTTTGCTTAGGCCAGCCCTGCTGATTTTTGGTCTCCCCGTGAATACGACTTCCGGTTCCGGTGTTCGGCAGAATCCTGGGCCAAACAAAAGTCCGTTCCCCAGCCTATCGACATCAACGCTGTTGGCCCACGTCAGCCTACTGGACCTAAATATATGCAGGAAGGTAAATATGACCTGGACCTCTGACATCACGTGATCTGTCGATAACATTGCGCCGTTCTTCCTCTGATAAAAAAAACAAACAGTGATACATAAGAAACTGAAATCTTCAGCAAAATCTTGAGATTTCTCTCATAACCAAATTTCCTTGAATTCATTTCTTCATCAGCACTTTCTTCCCATGAGTCTGCCGCCTCGATATGTCTGGAATATTGCTAAAGCGGCGTAAAACCACTCACTCTTCAGATGACTGGCATTAGATAAAGGCTGGACATGTCGTAAACATTTAAAAGTATATACAGTTAATTACGGTTATATCGAACTCAAAGGAACCACTAATTGTTGTTCCTACAAACCGTAGTTTTGCAAAATTCGACTAAAATATACAGCAACTGCCCGGGACCAAGAACACAGTTCAATATATCCGTCAGTTATGGGGGCGTTCGTTATAACTTATAGTGTACTGAGCCATTGTTGGGTATCTACTGTGTCTTTGATGTATCGGGGCGGTGGGGTAGCCCGGTGCTTAAAGCGTTCGTTCGTCACGCTGAAGACCCGGATTCGAATCCCCACATGGGTACAAGGAGTGAAGCCCATTTCTGGTGTCGAACGTCGTGATATTACTCACTCACTCGCTCTTTACCAGCAACGTACCAGCTGATGAAAACGTGAAAGAGACAATTCTGAAACCCCAGTGACTTTTGTTGTCCTCCATTGTCCCTACGTACTGTGAAAGCTGATAAAAACATGCAGCCATTACCAGGATAAGGGTGACTCATTAAACAGAGGGAAACAATCATGTCCAGATTTGTAGATGGTTTGGCTCTGTCCCTTGACGTATCACGTAATGAGTTTGACGTACCACGTAATGAGTTTGACGTATCACGTAATGAGTTTGACGTACCACGTTATGAGTTTGACGTGTCACGTATGCGTTTGACGTACCACGTAATGAGTTTGACGTATCACGTAATGAGTTTGACGTACCACGTAATGAGTTTGACGTGTCACGTAATGCGTTTGACGTACCACGTAATGAGTTTGACGTATCACGTAATGAGTTTGACGTACCACGTAATGAGTTTGACGTACCACGTAATGAGTTTGACGTGTCACGTAATGCGTTTGACGTACCACGTAATGCGTTTGACGTGTCACGTAATGCGTTTGACGTGCCACGTAATGAGTTTGACGTGTCAGGCAATGAGTTTGACGTACCACGTAATGAGTTTGACGTGTCACATAATGCGTTTGACGTATCACGTAATGAGTTTGACGTACCACATAATGAGTTTGACGTGTCAAGTCATGCGTTTGACGTACCACGTAATGAGTTTGACGTATCACGTAATGAGTTTGACGTACCACGTAATGAGTTTGACGTACCACGTAATGAGTTTGACGTATCACGTAATGAGTTTGACGTACCACGTAATGAGTTTGACGTAGCACGTAATGAGTTTGACGTGTCACGTAATGCATTTGACGTACCACGTAATGTGTTTGACGTATCACGTAATGCGTTTGACGTACCACGTAATGAGTTTGACGTTTTGACGTACCACGTAATGCGTTTGACGTATCACGTAATGCGTTTGACGTACCACGTAATGCGTTTGACGTACCACGTAATGAGGTTGACATATCACGTAATGAGTTTGACGTATCACGTAATGAGTTTGACGTATCACGTAATGCGTTTGACGTACCACGTAATGAGTTTGACGTATCACGTAATGCGTTTGACGTACCACGTAATGAGTTTGACGTGTCACGTAATGCGTTTGACGTACCATGTAGTGAGTTTGACGTGTCAGGCAATGTGTTTGACGTACCACGTAATGAGTTTGACGTATCACGTAATGCGTTTGACGTACCACGTAATGAGATTGACGTATCACGTAATGCGTTTGACGTATCACGTAATGAGTTTGACGTAGCACGTAATGAGTTTGACATACTACGTAATGAGTTTGACGTATGACGTGGACGACGAGTTTGTTTCTCAAGGGTCCAATGGATGGTTTATGTTATTTTCCAAAGGGTCGTGTTGTTTTATAACACCCGATTATCTGTAGAAAATGTATGTGAAACGACACATACTGTTCGACGGCTAATTATAATAAGTGCATTTGTAATGCACTAAACTCCATTCACTAGGTGAATGCTCATAGCGCTAAAAATCCCATTATTTTTACCCCATATAACCCAAGCTGCCTGTGAGGCGCTAGAGGGTTAATAGTCACATGATTTATCCCACCGGGTACCCATTTTTGTTGTGTGAACAGAGGCAATTTTGAACAAACTCACTTGCCTAAGATGAGATCACGTATATCACATGTGCTTCATTGTGGGACAGAACTGAAGTGTCTGGAATAACTAAGAAATCATTATGATTGATAACAATAGTAAAGAGAGATATGTGATGATATAAAATTTGTCTTCCAGCCATCCCCCAGCACCACAGCACGTCACATCCGGCATCATGCAGCGGATCTATTATTGGATAACGGCCACCTCAGCATGCTCCTTACCAAAATACTGAACATGATGATACGACTATTTGTCTTTCATGATAATAAGAATAAAGTTGAATATGGTCAGTTGTGCGTCTTGAAAATAGTCCTTGAATCATGGGTGCACTACGTGTATGAAAGTAAGCCAGCTCGCTCCTCTGTCCTCTAATATAGGGTCTGTTCATTTAGACAACACATGCTCACTAGTTGTTCACAACACTGTTATTTTATCAGCTGAGGGAGTGATGTAAGTTCGTTATCCAGGCAATTTACAGATGCAGTCTTTAGCAAGTGTACTTTTTGCATACATTCTTAAAAAAAAAAATTTGTTCACGCAATTATTATTTTTTCAGCTGAGAGAGAAATTTCAGTTTGTTATGCAGGTTACACAATTTTACAGATGCGATCTTTAGCCAGTGTGCGTTTAGCATATATTCATAAAAAAAATACATAAACTGATGCGCAAAAGAAAGTACACAGGTTGTGTTTCTTCCAATAAGATAAAAATGACAAAACCTTTTGATGAAATAGAAAATTTATGTTGATGCACACTGCAATACACGTGTTTTATCAGCAAAATGACATTGTAACAATAAACAGCGATGTAGTGATGACCACTGCAGACGGTTCCTACGATGCTGGAAGGTCAAGGCCATTCCACGCAGCGGTCGGTAGGCCCATACATGCCAGCAGGACGAAGTCGTCTTGTCGCTGTGAATCGGCTTTCGCGATGACCCAATGATGCGGCTGCTGATGACGTCACCGTCAACATCCAGTTGCGTAGGTGAATAACCCGCAGATAGCGATCCTCTTGGGGTGGTGTGACTCTGGAACGTCCACTTCTGGGTCGATCACATGTCTGGCCTGTCGTACTGAAACGGTTAAACAGCCGAATTATGGTTTGTCTTGTGCAACCCAATGTCCTTGCAATATCGCTGTTGAAAGCACCCATTTGTGTCATTCCTTTGGCCCGTTCTCGTTGCGCCGACGTGAATCTTGGCATTTCCTCGTGAGGTGTCTGTCAAGTGATTGTTCAGTCTTCACGACAAACAGGTTTAATACTCTCTGTCAGAAAAGTGCTGGTGCATGGGACAATAATCACAATTTTGCAAAAATTCGTGCAAAACACGTACAAACGAATTTGGTTGCATTTTGGCAAATGAAACATGATGGTTGCGTTCTGTACAATCAATGTTTTTCAATAACTTTATTAGTTAGAACGCATATTTGGGATTGCAACAACAATTACACCTGTGTACTTTCTTTTGCACGTCAGTTTATTTTGATTCGTAAGTAAATTATATTTGTGGAATTGATTACCATCATCACGTCAAATGAACAGTAATTAGAGTAAAATATCGCAATGCAAACATCTTATACCGTCATGATCTCAATTGATTCAGAAATGTATACCATGGCTTCTCGTATACCGTGGCTTCTCGTTTCCTACTGAGAGTGCTACGTATGTACAGGGACTCTTTTTGTAAAAAGACCTGATGTTTGCAGGATAATCAGCGCATCAATCTAATAATGTCTAGTTGCCATCTATTATGGTGAATTTATATTACCTTAAGGTCAGTAATGTATCCCCATTTTACTTCAGCCAGATTCGGTCAGTACGATCAAGAGGGTTTTTTAAAAAAAAAATGTCGCTGATGTTAAAATTATGAAAGCTTCAAAATCATCGATAGTTTCTCCATCTTTGTTTGTCTCTGTTTTTGGCATCCGCGAGATGCATCGTCTTTGGTTGAAAAAAAGAACTTGTTTGTTTAAGGTGGTAAGTTTTTAGAAATTGATAGACCAAGAGGGCATGTCACCTTAAATACCTGGAATGTTCTTACAAACAACGTACAAACATTGTGGTATCATCTTCCGTGGGCGAGTAGGCTGGCCTCTCAGAACTGTGGTGAAACTCGTACTTCTTAGGTGTTGTGTTTTATTGTCCACAAATAGAACATAAACAATGTTTTGACTTCGTTTGTGGCCGTGGTCCTTGTAAGGCTAAACTGATCCCCAGTGCGAAGACCATAGAATTTCGAACAAATGCAGTTGTTAAGACCTTATTTCAGTGCAATCTGCACAAACGAAATGCCTCTATGATAACCGACATTCCTGAGTGCTCCAAAAACCAGACAGGTGTCCACCCCCAAACTTAGGAATTCAGCTGTTGTGTTATATTGTCGTCTTGCAACTAAGTGTCAGGCGTTTCACAGGCTTATGAAGTCTTAGTTATATAAAATTAATTACAAAACGTAAAAATTTTAGTATTCCAAGGTTCCAAAAAAGCTTCCTACCATCAATTCCCTGTTTTGAGGTCACATCATCGGTCATTATCAGACCTCCGCCATTCAGCTGGGTTTATTGCGGGGTTAAACAACAAACGAACAAACACACAGAGATGTTACAGGTGTAAACAACAAACAAACAAACACAGAGAGATGTTACAGGTGTAAACGACAAACAAACAAACACACAGATATGTTACAGGTGTAAACAACAAACAAACACACAGAGGTGTTACAGGTGTAAACAACAAACAAACAAACACACAGAGATGTTACAGGTGTAAACAACAAACAAACAAACACAGAGAGATGTTACAGGTGTAAACGACAAACACACAGAGATGTTACAGGTGTAAACAAGAAACAAACAAACACAGAGAGATGTTACAGGTGTAAACGACAAACAAACAAACAATCACACAGAGATGTTACAGGTGTAAACGGCAAACAAACAAACACACAGAGATGTTACAGGTGTAAACAAGAAACAAACAAACACACAGAGATGTTACAGGTGTAAACGACAAACAAACAAACACACAGAGATGTTACAGGTGTAAACGGCAAACAAACAAACACACAGAGATGTTACAGGTGTAAACAACAAACACACAGAGATGTTACAGGTGTAAAAACCAACAAACACACAGAGATGTTACAGGTGTAAACAACAAACAAACAAACACACAGAGATGTAACAGGTGTAAACGGCAAAGAATCCTTTATCCACAAATATTGAAGTCACAGCGACAAGCCATCATTGACTGACACATTAGTAAATTAAACATTTATGTTATAACTGGTGGTGCATCAGTGACAACTGCAGTCAAATATGCGATTCATACCAGGCCTCAGACCACAATTATTTCCTTCTTTGCTATATACTGTGATAGCTCAGTCAACCATAATTAATATCGGTCGTAGGCTGGTCACCTGTTGCTTGCTGACCAGTTTCCACTTGTTTCCACTTGTCACGTGGTAAGATATCGGCCTGGATCCACCTCAGTTTTGCTGTATCCACTCTCAACAATGGTCACCTGAAGTTTCGAGCCGAAACACACTAAACAGCTGTGAACGTGAGGTCACATCATGGAAGGCTGGCGTCAGAGTACCATGTGCAGATTGTGGGGGGAAAGTTGCAATGAAGTACAGTGTCTGATCTTTCATTTAAGCTGTCACAAGTCACCCTGAAAATATTTACAAAGACTGAACAGCCCATTTAAATAAGGCACTATATACTCCTATCTTTCCCCCGGGTCATGGTTACTGTGGTCCGAGGCCAAATTGGGTACATAGCCAGACGAATTAGGACTTTGTAATCACGGTCATGAGTTTTCCATTTGTCATAGGGTTCCACGTCTTTGGATAATCCTTTTTATCACCGATGGTTTTAATCACAAGTGCGTCAATGGACCGATCATTCGCGAAGACATTTGACGACTGTTCATTCGCGAAGACATTTGGCGACCGTTCATTCGCGAAGACATCTGGCGACCGTTCATTCGCGAAGACATCTGGCGACCGATCATTTGCGAAGACATTTGGCGACCGATCATTCGCGAAGACATTTGCGATCATTCGCGAAGACATTTGCGATCATTCGCGAAGACATTTGGCGACCGAATATTTGCGAAGACATTTGGCAACCGATCATTCGCGAAGACATTTGGCGACCGTTCGTTCGCGAAGACATTTGGCGACCGTTCATTTGCGAAGACATTTGGCGACCGTTCATTTGCGAAGACATTCGACGACCGTTCATTCGCGAAGACATTTGGCGACCGTTCATTCGCCAAAAAACAGTCCAGTACTGTGGAACAGTCTACCCATGCACCTCAGATCGCTAGAGAATCTACCAACATTCAAGTCACAATTGAAACCTCATTTGTTTAGTGCTTGAACAATGTCTTTCCAGCCTCATCTCCATCGCTTCTGAGTAGTACATGCCAGAAACTAGCGCTATATAAATATTAATGTATGTATGTAAGTCGACTAATCGTACGGTTAATGTTCAAGTTGACACCGATGTTGGGACAGGGCATCCCTGGGTCATGCATGCCAATAACGTAGTACGCTCTCGTGTAATTTCTCTATGTCTTCGTCATGTCATTTCACAAAGAGTCATAATGTCATACTGACATATTTTAAATCAGTTCAGATAGCAGTAGTGCGCTACTGCAATTATGAAATTTATACCCCAATGTGACCCATAACCTTTGAGATAATTTTTTTCTTACCTTTTTTATGTGCATTCCAGCATGCCCTTGGATTCAGGTGGTGCTTTATTAATGCTCAAATGAACAAGCACTTCAGGGTGGGGAATTTCACATTGTTTACCTTGTTCACAGGTTTTGAATGTTGGTTCCAGTGGTTGTGCCACTCATTGCTAGGCATCTTATCTTATATCTCAGCTCAACAACACTTGGCCACATGTTGCTCGTGTCTGTACTGCGTTTCTCGTTCACAGTCATGTCACCGAGCTACACTGGCCAGCGCGTTCACCAGATTTAGGCCCGATTGAACTTGGTTGCCGTGTATATGCCGTGTCTCCGTCGTCCGCATTCAAGATGGAAAACGGTCGATACACAAATTTATTACCCACGTAGTTGCATACTGATCTCGTACGTCACACGAGTGTCGTATCGCGTTGACCTGTGTCGTAACGACTCGACCTGAGATTCTAACGACTTGATTGCATAACCGATGACCTCTCAATTAGGTCACGTTGTGACGGAACTACTTTTTCATTAAAAAAACGCGTGAATTCATTCATTCTACAACTTATATGCATTGTGGGAATGTAAGCACTGCGAACGGTGCCATATCGCTGTTTAATTGTGAGTCGAACTGAGACATTATATCCGTCGAAAAACATAAACGCAATGTTTCCACCACTGAAGCAACTGCAAACTAAGAAACGGGGTGCTACGAAGCAGTTTAATGTAGGAGGCTGTACGAGGCGATGACAACTGACATGCATCGTGACGTCGGTTACCAAGGGGGCAGTCGAGCAAGGCGTAGTGACGTTATTACAGTGTGACGTCATGCAAAAAGTATACTACAGAACAAAATTCTTCCGCAACCTCTTTATGAAACCGGTTTCGGTTTGAAACCATAAAAATAACAAAAATACGATATTTTGGTCAATTTAAGGCATGTGAGACGTGGGTAATAAATAAAATACCACACTCGGTCTCATAGCATACGAATTATACGAAACTCGTGACCTTCCTATGGTTTCTGATCTCGCTTTCGCTCTGTCAGATACCATAGGAGGGACACTCGTTTCGTATAATTCGTATGTAATGAGACCTCGTGTAGTATTCTCTATATACCGTCAGAGGAGATAACTTGTTTTTAACCCATTTGTAAAGATGAAATAGAGGATGAATACCTCATTTTACCGAAGTATCCACTGTATTCATATGAGCTCTCACAGTTTCTATCGATGTGTGAAGATGCCGAATCCGATTTTATTGACTTCTGTGATACCAGCAAACTAGATTTTATCTTGTCAGCCCCTTTTTATGTTTTGTAGCTGCCAAAACCTGCCATTTTATTCTCGTTGCGAGAAGGAATTGTTTTTATGTGCATCAATATCTTTAAATTCAGTTTTAAATATGTATGTAAATTTATTTAATCTTTTTAGTTTTATTACTTGAATGTTTATTTTTCTAGCATTTTACAACATTCGTTTTTTATTCATGTACACACGTGTATAATATAATACTTTTGTCACCAGTAACTCTATCAAGAATGGCTCATTACGTATTTTATTGCAATCGTTTTGCGTGTATATACGTCTAATTATGTAATGAGGTGAAACTTTAATAAACTGTCTGTCTGTCGAAGAACTTGCCACGAATGACAGAAAGTCCCATTCAGAATGGTCAAGAAAGGCGTTCTGACATTGTATGGGCACTAGAGATGGACACATAACCTACTGACCTGTATGATAGTTTTTTATGAAACTTTTAAAACTATCTCGAAGGTTTGTCTCAATACAGTATATGTCATAGAAAAAGAAATCTAGTTTATTTTCCTATGAGATAAGAAGGCCTACTGTCTGTCAGCATTCACAGTCCACGTGCGATGTATTTGAAGATCAGGTTTATTCCAGACCATTTTAAACTAAGTGGGTCATTTTACGATCTCTTTCCAAAGAAATTCCCGAAGAAATATATAATACCACTACCTACGCTTATAACGAACATACGACCACCTCCGTGGTGTAGTGGTTAGAGCGTCCGCCCGGAGAGCGGAAGGTCGCGGGTTCGACCGCGTCATTTCAAAAGACGTTAAAATATGGTACGTGTTGGTCCCTAGCTGGCGCTTGGCATTAATGGGTACAGCAAGGACTGGTCGGCTCAGAGTCAGTATAATGTGTCTGAGTGGGGCATTCATGCTTCACTGCGGCATGGTATCTCAGTGGGCTAGCACTATAAAACCAGCTTCAGTCTGGACTAGTACAAGCAGCCGCACCTACACATACACACGCATGCACGTCGTCATATGAGCGAAATATTCTACAGCGCGACGTTAAACCCAATTTCACCTCACCTCACCTCACCTCACCTCAACTATAACGAACATACAGGGACCACTAATTTTAGGTCGACATAACAGCAATCCAATTTAAACATTTAAACTATAAAGCATATTCGCTGGGACATAAAAATACAAAACAAAAAAACACTATATCGGTAAGTTCCTTTTAAGCATGTTCGCTAAAAACGCAGTAGGTTTGGTTTCCTAGTATTTAAAGAGTTCGCTCGTCACGCCGAATACCCGGGTTCGATTCAATGTGTGAAACCCATTTCTGGTGTCCCAGGCTTGATATTGCTGGAATATTGTTAAAAGCGGCATAAAACCCAACTCACTCACTCACGTTATAAACGCGTTTACTGTATTTATATTCAGTATGTCAATATCTTCGCATATAGAGTTAGTAAGTGAATATGGTTTTAAGCCGCTGTCAACAGTATTTCAGTTTCATCACAGGAGGTGTCCAAAATGGACTATACCCGTGAAGATCAAGCTTAGAATTGGTCTTCAGTAACCCATGCTTGTCGTAAGAAGCGACTAACGGGATCAGGTGGTCAGACTTGCTGACTTGGTTGACACTTGTCATCGTACCCCAACTGCGTAGAACGATGCTCATGCTGTTGATCACTGGATTGTCTGGTCCAGACGAGAGTGCGGCGTTAAACAACAACCAAACCGAAATGGGATCAACAATTTTTCGACGTTTAAGACTTTGTCGAAAGGTTGTTCAACGTGACGAAGCTATCAGATATAAAGTACGCTTGTCAAACAAGTATGCTTGTCTTACACATATCACTTTTTTACAATAGATCTGTAGGTTTCAAGGCAGGGATATCGGGAATCAAACCCGGACCTTTGACACTACTACGTCGCCCCTTCGTAACCCTGATTATTAGGCAATGTGTTTTCTGGTCAAATGTTAAATTCAGAGTGGGAAATCTGTTCCTACAGATAATATTCATTTTCTACATGTTTTTAGAAATATCAGTGTTCTGTCGCTTATAGTTGGTTAACAGGACACACTATTGTGTAATAACGTTTATTCTAAACAGGGTGCAAGTAACATTATTCAAAAGTAGCGTATCAAAGTGTATATAATATGAATACAGTCTTATTTTATGTGCTATGGTTATGTAAATAGATAGTATAATTACACGTCGTAGGCATGGAGACAATATTTCGTTATAACTACTTGTCATTACTCTCTTGTTGAAAGAGTAATCATATATGCTATTCAGAGATCCACTGACAGAATAAATACAAGAGCTCAGCCTTAAAACAAGACAACACATTTATCAAATCCCGTCTTTATTTATCATGAAATGGATGACACCACCGGTTGGCGTATATTCAGATCCACGTGGGGCGGTGGGGTAGCCTAATGGTTAAAGCGAAGACCCGGGTTCGAATCCCCACATGGGCACAATGTGTGAAGCCCATTTCTGGTGTCCCCCGCCGTGATGTTGCTGGAATATTGCTAAAAACGGCGTGAAACCAAAACTCAGTCAGTCAGTCAGTCAGATCCACGTTTTGCTGTGTCACTTTTTCCTGTGCTTATCTTGCTCAAGGCCAAGGTAACCAGATGTCTATATACTCCGTCAGATTGTAATCTCCAATATTTTAAAACTTCCACGCTAGCCATGACGTGGGTAGTGGCTCTGTGTCTGGGGCTGTTGTTGCCCCTGGGTCACTCCAAGACAGTCCACATCTATGTCAGCCCCAAGGGATTAGACGGCAACTCGGGGTAAAACAACACCTTTATGTCGCACTATCATTACCTTATTTCACAGTTCGAAACTTCACAGAGACGAACCTATTGTTTATAAATACCATTCCAATGTGTCAGCCCTATGATCTCGGGTAATAGCTTCATTTATGTATATGGGCCGACGAATTCGTTACCTGATTATATAGTATTCGAATTGATAATTTTGCTTTTCTCATGGTATAATGTTGGACGGTAAATGTTCCTTTTTTAAAAATGATCAAATGTATATTTCTTTTATCACAAAACACTGATTCATGGCACACGGGTACCAATTCATAAAATGGTCACAACTACTGATACTTTTTTGAGATTGCATATCAATCCAAACCAACTTTTGAAAGGGAGTTTTGTCCAAAGATGCAGATCAGTTATAAGGACAGGATCTACCAAATGTCCAACTATCCTTTTTCCTTAGCCTTTATAAAACAGCTTCATCTGCCCAGGTTGGATGTCTCCCACCCGGTTGCCACCCTGGACAAGGCCAGGCACTTACTGGACAGCGGTGGCATCAAGGGCAACAGTGAGTAGGTTCTAAGGCTCACCTTTCAAATTATCGGTCAAAATGAGTTTTTGAATATTCCGTAGAGTCGATCCTCAGGAACTCTAAACCGGTAATTTCGAATGTACCAATCTTTGGAACATGTTCATGGGTACGTACCCCTTTGCAATGTAAATGCGTATAAATGTATCGTATAATTCCAGATATCAAAACATCGGCCAGACTCAACCTTGAAATCGGGCCCAACTTCAGCTTAACTATAAATTTTTCTATCTTAATCTCGATTTTAGAATTTGCTACATTAAAAGTTTTGAGAAGCTCACGTAGAACTGAAACTTTATTTTCTCAGACATACAGCATCACAGCAGAGATGCAGACCAACATTAAACAATCGTTAAACTCATCTCTTAATCCAGATGGTAATCTGTGTCGACTAGTAAAACATTGAGAGTAGACTTGAGTAAAAACAGAGGAACTTGCTGGTTTTTGTAATTAACATTAGATTCACTGACATTTCCACTGGTACAACCTGTATATTTTCTGCTAACTTGGTGTCTCACACTCTCTCGCCTTCCTGTAGCGGTGTACGTGGAGCTGATGGGAGGCTACCACAACCTGCAGTCCACCCTACACTTCACACACGCCTACACCCAGCCTGTCACCTTCAGAGCCTACCAGGACCAGGAGGTCCACGTGGTGAGTGGGGATGCACGGGTTGAATGGGAAGATCCACATGATGAGTTGGGAGGGAGGTCAATGTGGTGAGTTGGGAGGTCCACGTGGTGAGTGAGGTCGTGGATGTTGTGAGTGGGGGGGGTCAAAGTTTAGAGTATCTACCGAACATTTATGAAGCATATCTTCCAAAGGTTTCTTGAACTCCAAATGATCATGATTTACCTTGCACCCTCAACGCGAAACGCCACCTTTTATTGCATTGGACAAGCTTAACGAATGATATTACGTACCTGCAGATGCAACCTGCAAGAATAAAGAATGTTGCCACGGAGTGAATCCTACACCATGGTCCTGTTAAACATGTATATGTTACAGTATATGTGTCAAATCAGGAAATGTGTAAATTTCCTGGAATATTTAGGAAATGTGTACATTTCCTGATTCACTCAGTAAATGTACACATGTCCTAAATACTCCAGGAAATTTACACATTTCCTGATTTGAGGGCCTGATTTTTTTACACATTTCTTTATATGATTTTCTTGCTATCTCAAATAATAAAGCTTTGAATTAAAGGAAAACAAAATCATCAATTTACACGAACTCATTTATTGTGGCAATTCAAGCTTGAATGACAACGACTATTACACTTAAGTCCTGCTTTGTAACATTTACACTTGTTGGTTTTGCACTTCTTATACAGTTTTGTTAGGAACTATAGCCATGCTCCATGGAGTAGGTTTGACAAACTTGTATGATGAGTAAAATATTCCAACAGCTCGAGTCTTCTTGTAGTAGACTTAGATACATCCTTCCGACCCAGTTGGAATCAAATGTTTGGACTTTAGTAGAGATTCCTTGTGATTATGGAAAGGGTTTATTCAGACTTGCCCTCATGGTTTCTGTTTTAATGTTACCAGACAGGAGGCAAGCAGTTGTCAGCGAACCTGTTTACACGTGTAACAGACACGGACGCTATTAATATGCTGCCAGCAGATTCAATATCAAAGGTAAATATACCAATGTGGTTTACTTCTAATTCCGAATATATTTCAGAGTAATTTTCTTCGCCTGAAAAAGATGATGTATTCTTTGTTGAGTGAGCACTTTTGTTGCAAACACGAAACATTGTTGTTACATTTTGACATATTTTATTGAATTGTACCGTACGTTCCCGAATTTTTCCAGGTGAACAATTAACTAGCCTTTGCATGTGTTTATGGCAGGTGCTACCGGTGGGGCAGGATACGCTCACCTTTTCGCGAATTCTGGGATCTTTACAATTTTGATTCATAGACACATACTCGGAATAGTTCAGTCGCAATTTCTTTTGGATGTGGAAGGGAAAGGAGTGGATTTTTGTCGCTTTTAATTATTCCGATCCATACTTTCTTAAAGACATGAATAATAATAATCAGCACAACAACCAAGGGAGTATGACCTACCCAGGTGTTGTGGTTAAGGTGCGAGGTTTCATCTTCTGGACAAATACAAGGCATCTGATGATACCAATTCTTTATCTATTACTCAACCGCAAACCCTTCCCCAACCCCCAACCCCACCACTATCGACTGTTTCTTTTGTTTCTACTGGGAGCGGTGAGGCAGCCTAGTAGTAAAAGCGTTTGCTCAACACGCCGAAGACCTGGGTTCGATTCCCCACATGGGTGCAATGTGTGAAGACCATTTCTGGTGTCCCCCGCCATATTGCTAGAATGAATATTGCTGAAGGCGGTGTAAAATCCTACTCACTCACTCACTGTTTCTACTGTAGGTGGTGCAGGTGCACCTACCAAGTGCTGGAATCACCGACTACGGCACGATGTCCAGGTTCGGCACCTATTACTCTAGAACATCATGGTTGGAGATCTTTATCAACGGGGAGCCAGCCAGATTGGCCCAGTACCCTAATGAGGTAGGATGGTAGAGCCAGATTGGTCCAGTACCCTAATGAGGGAGGAAAGTGGAGCCAGACTAACCCCGTACCCTAATGAGGTACTGTGGTAGAGGCAGATGGGTCCAGTACCCTAATGAGGTAGTGTGGTCGGGACATATTGGCCCAGTATCCTAATGAGGTAGTGTGGTAGAAACAGATTGACCCAGTACCCTAATGAGGTAGTGTGGAAGAGACATATTGACCTAGTACACTAATGAGGTAGTGTGGTAGAGACATATTGACCCAGTACCCTAATGAGGTAGTGTGGAAGAGACATATTGACCTAGTCCACTAATGAGGTAGTGTGGTAGAGACATATTGACCCAGTATCCTAATGAGGTAGTGTGGTAGAGACAGACCGACCCAGTACCCTAATGTGGTAGTGTGGTAGAGCCAGACTGACCCAGTGCCCTAATGAGGAAGGGTGGTAGAGACATATTGACCCAGTATCCTAATGAGGTAGTGTGGTAGAGACATATTGACCCAGTGTCCTAATGAGGTAGTGTGGTAGAGACATATTGGTCCAGTATGCTAATGAGGTAGTGTGGTAGAGACATATTGACCCAGTATCCTAATGAGGTAGTGTGGTAGAGACATATTGACCCAGTATCCTAATGAGGTAGTGTGGTAGAGACAGATTGACCCAGTGTCCTAATGAGGTAGTGTGGTAGAGACAGATTAACCCAGTGTCCTAATGAGGTAGTGTGGTAAAGACATATTGACCCAGCATCCGAATGAGGTAGTGTGGTAAAGACATATTGACCCAGTATCCTAATGAGGTAGTGTGGTAGAGACATATTGACCCAGTATCCTAATGAGGTAGTGTGGTCGAGACATATTGACCCAGTATCCTAAAGAGGTAGTGTGGTCGAGACATATTGACCCAGTATCCTAGTGAGGTAGTGTGGTAGAGACATATTGACCCAGTATCCTAATGAGATAGTGTGGTCGAGACATATTGACCCAGTATCCTAATGAGGTAGTGTGGTAGAGACATATTGACCCAGTATCCTAATGAGGTAATGTGGTAGAGACAGATTGACCCAGTATCCTAATGAGGTAGTGTGGTAGAGACATATTGACCCAGTATCCTAATGAGGTAGTGTGGTAGAGACAGACTGACCCAGTATCCTAATGAGGTAATGTGGTAAAGACAGATTGACCCAGTATCCTAATGAGGTAGTGTGGTAGAGACATATTGACCCAGTATCCTAATGAGGTAGTGTGGTAGAGACATACTGACCCAGTATCCTTATGAGGTAGTGTGGTAGAGACATATTGACCCAGTATCCTAATGAGGTAGTGTGGTAGAGGCATATTGACCCAGTATCCTAATGAGGTAGTGTGGTAGAGACAGATTGACCCAGTATCCTAATGAGGTAGTGTGGTAGAGACATATTGACCCAGTATCCTAATGAGGTAGTGTGGTAGAGACATATTGACCCAGTATCCTAATGAGGTAGTGTGGTAGAGACAGATTGCCCCAGTTTCCTAATGAGGTAATGTGGTATAGACATATTGACCCAGTATCCTAATGAGGTAGTGTGGTAGAGACATATTGACCCAGTATCCTAATGAGGTAGTGTGGTAGAGACATATTGACCCAGTATCCTAATGAGGTAGTGTGGTAGAGACATATTGACCCAGTATCCTAATGAGGTAGTGTGGTAGAGGCATATTGACCCAGTATCCTAATGAGGTAGTGTGGTAGAGACAGACTGACCCAGTATCCTAATGAGGTAGTGTGGTAGAGACATATTGACCCAGTATCCTAATGAGGTAGTGTGGTCGAGACATATTGACCCAGTATCCTAAAGAGGTAGTGTGGTAGAGACATATTGACCCAGTATCCTAATGAGGTAGTGTGGTAGAGACAGATTGACCCAGTATCCTAATGAGGTAATGTGGTAGAGACATATTGACCCAGTATCCTAATGAGGTAGTGTGGTAGAGACATATTGACCCAGTATCCTAATGAGGTAGTGTGGTAGAGACATATCGACCCAGTATCCTTATGAGGTAGTGTGGTCGAGACATATTGACCCAGTATCCTAATGAGGTAGTGTGGTAGAGGCATATTGACCCAGTATCCTAATGAGGTAGTGTGGTAGAGACAGACTGACCCAGTATCCTAATGAGGTAGTGTGATAGAGACATATTGACCCAGTATGCTAATGAGGTAGTGTGGTAGAGACATATTGACCCAGTATCCTAATGAGGAAGGGTGTTAGAGTCATATTGACCCAGTATGCTAATGAGGTAGTGTGGTAGAGACATATTGACCCAGTATCCTAATGAGGAAGGGTGTTAGAGTCATATTGACCCAGTATCCTAATGAGGTAGTGTGGTAGAGACATATTGACCCAGTATCCTAATGAGGTAGTGTGGTAGAGACATATTGACCCAGTATCCTAATGAGGTAGTGTGGTAGAGACATATTGGTCCAGTACCCTAATGAGGTAGTGTGGTAGAGACAGATTTACCCAGTATCCTAATGAGGTAGTGTGGTAGAGACATATTGGCCCAGTATCCTAATGAGGTAGTGTGGTAGAGACATATTGACCCAGTACCCTAATGAGGTAGTGTGGTCGAGACATATTGACCCAGTATCCTAATGAGGTAGTGTGGTAGAGACATACTGACCCAGTATCCTTATGAGGTAGTGTGGTATAGACATATTGACCCAGTATCCTAATGAGGTAGTGTGGTAGAGGCATATTGACCCAGTATCCTAATGAGGTAGTGTGGTAGAGACAGATTGACCCAGTATCCTAATGAGGTAGTGTGGTAGAGACATATTGACCCAGTATCCTAATGAGGTAGTGTGGTAGAGACATATTGACCCAGTATCCTAATGAGGTAGTGTGGTAGAGACAGATTGACCCAGTATCCTAATGAGGTAGTGTGGTATAGACATATTGACCCAGTATCCTAATGAGGTAGTGTGGTAGAGACATATTGACCAAGTATCCTAATGAGGTAGTGTGGTAGAGACATATTGACCCAGTATCCTAATGAGGTAGTGTGGTAGTACCCTAATGTAGGAGTGTGGTAGAGCAAATACTCTATTGTGGTAGTGTGGTAGAGCCAGATTGGTCAATTGGTCATTAATTTTACAATCGGAAATAGCAAGAGCAACACATTCACTTAGCCAGTTTTTTAAATTCATACAGAAATTCCTGAACATCGTCTCCGTTCCAAAAGGTCAACATGGCAAGACCTTCACCTACAGTACACACGAAGACTCCAGATGGGTGCATGAGAAGGAACCCTGGGGTTACGGCTTCTGGTAAACTTCAGAATGATGTGTTTGTTTGTTGTTGAACGCCGCACTTAACAGTGCTCCAGCTAGGATGGCGTTCTGTAAATAGTAATGTCTGGACAAGATAATCCAATGATTGGCATCATGATCGATCTACGCCATAGGGATACGATGGCATCAACCAAATCAGCGAGTTAGTCTTGACAAGAATGTTTTGCTATTTGAATGCTCTCATGGGTCACTTCAGAATGATTTATAATTTATATATTGCAAAGTAACGTGAAGGCAAAAATCCTTCGCTTGATCAAAACTAATATAAAAACAATTTGTGTTCTGTTAATGGTGTTGGACTAAATGGGATTATGGACGTGATTGGCTGCGATTGAAGTTGATTCTACTAAATTGCAGGAAACTGCGGATAAATTGTCTTTAAATAAGTGGTCAATGTGTATCTCAAATGAAACATTTGGTGCGCGGTCATTTGGACTGTACTTCAGGATATGGTACGAAGAATATGCGGAATTTGATATATTGGAATAGGTGATACAAGATAATTGCATTCAATTCGAAGTCAGGAATAATATTTGCGTGTTTTGGGTGTACCTGCCTAAACTCTGGACTTGAGACATGTGTTTACAATTTGACGTGATTGATCAACACCTGCATCACATGTGGCCTGAAGAGTCCCAACGTTGCTGTCTGTTCAGGATGTATAGCTGGTCAGACGATGCCGCCAAGATTGACCACATTGACGCCAACAAACATGAAATGACTCTGGTAAATGACACCAACTATGGACTCAGAGTAGGTCAGTAGAACTGAGAGAGAGCCTTCTGCTTTGTAATCTTCTATAATCTCCTTCATAAGCGGTCTTACAGTAACTTGCCTTGTACCATTTTATTCAATGCATTTGGTGAAAAAGACAACAGAAAAGTAGATCATTCATTCAGTATTAATTTTTTATTACATCTACCTGTTAATGCACGAAAATACAACAACGAGACATGAAAAGGTGTGAAGGTTTCCCACCTATTCATGTCTCATTGCCATCTGGCCAAAGACCATGATTCCCATAAACAATTTCAGTTTTACTCACTGAAACACGACATCACTATCCATACTTTCCCCAAATATGTATAATCTTAATGCAAACTGTTGTTGACTCTAAATTTCAAAACTGTATCTTTTTCACAAAACTGGAAAATTGATCAATCCTGGTTCTCTTCAAGCAGAATAATTGTTCCTGATATTGAGTGTTTCTGATTTGTTAAGGTCACTACAACCCAGCCCATCTGGCATATGCCGATACTCAGGGTGGTTACTTCCGGATGATCAACATGCTATCAGAGCTGGATCAGCCGGTGAGAGAAACCTCCTCCTCCTCTTCCTCCTCCTCTTCTTCCTCCTCCTCCTCTCCCTCCTCCTCCTCTCCCTCCTCCTCTACATCCTCCACCTCCTCTTCCTCCTCCTCTACCTCCCCCACTTCTCAACCTCCTCTGCCTCACCCCCTCCATCTCAACATAATCTGCCTACCCCAGTCTTCTCAACCTCCTCCTACTACTCTTCCTCCTCCTCATCGTCGTTGTTGTCCTTTTTGTCGGTTTTCCCTGCATCCTTTTGCTTCAGTCTCATCCCCATACTTCTTCCTCTCGTCCCATTTCTTCTTCTGCATCCCTCTTTTTTCATGCCCCCCTTCCTCCTCCCATTTCTGAGAAAATATTTCTCAACTTCTTAGCCATATGGTGATAGCATATTGAAACAAATACATTTTACAGCCTTTATTTACTAATTCCCTATGCTAATTGCTGTAATATTGCTGATCTGGCATAAAGCAATAACCATTCATTCATTTGCTATGACTTCACTGTGAAAAAAGTTGAAGTGTCTCTTCCTGTTCATCTCTTGTGTTATGGGGGCAGCGGGGTAGCTTAGTGTTTAAAGTGTTCTTTCCTCACGCTGAAGACACGAGTTCGACCATACTGACTCTTTCACACACTCTTGTGTTATCCTTCAAGGGGGAGTTCTACCTGGACCGATCCAATGGCAACCTGTACATCTGGCCCAACACAAAGACGGGCACCTTGTCCTCCTCTGACGTCATCACTGTGTCACTCATCAACGACTGCATCAGGTTCGAGCTATTTGTCCTACCTCCTCGCCAACTGTGAAAAAAGAAACACACTATAGAATGGACTCAGACAAATAAGGAAAGCACCATCAATTAATTCCAAATTACATATACAATCCAACAGATTTCAAATAATTATTCATCGCAAATGAAACGATTCATGTTGTATCTTATGCAACAAATCTAGTTTCGTGGTAACATGACTGGATGTCTAAGGTTTAATAATCTGTGTTTCATTACATTCACCCTATAAGCCTTTGATAACAGATCAATATTTCCCCTTTCATTATCTCCCAAAACTTCCTATTAAAACCGCCGTGATATGTTTCAACCGGATGTCTATACTCTGGTGCACAAGTTCCGTTACATATGTACTCAAAATAATATATATATATATATATATATATACTTATATTTATACAACCATCCCAAACTGTGACGAGTGAGTGAGTGAGTGATAGAGTGAGTGAGTATGGCTGAACGCAATACTCCAGCAATATCACTGTGCGGGACACCAGAAATGGGCTTCACACATTGCACCCATGTGGAGAATCGAACTCGTGTCTTTGGTGTGACGAGCCAACGTTTTCACCATTAGGCTATCCCACCGCCCCAAAACTGTGAACAACAAAGAAAAATTAATACCAGCTCCACATACCAGCTCCACATTAAATCCACTAGTCACTCATAAATTCTTCATACTGTAATAAGTCTGGGCTAGTACAAGCAGCCACACAAACACGCATGCACGTCATCATATGAGCGAAATTGTCTTAATTACGACGTTAAACCCCATTGCATCTCACCTTTTACAGCATGGATTCAGGTGTGAGTAACCTCAATTTTGAGGGGGTTCACTCTGGAGGCGTGTCGCCGTGTTGGCATTACTGGAAATGGCCTGAACAACATCAAAGTTCAAAACTTGGACATTAAGAATCTGGGTGAGGCATAACAACTGGTGCATATGAATACACTGTTGATATATATATTACATCAACGATAGTGAGGTAGCGAAAAATCTAGGAGGGTTGGCTGATAACTTCTGAGCTTTACATAGTTCCTGATCAACAATGTAGGAAATATCTCGGTGTAATCAAGCTCTGTTTGAAGCTGATCGAGAAACGTTTATGACTCGATTGGTGACTAGATCATGACGTCAAAAGAAGGCAAAGACTGCCACATCAACTGGAAAAGTAATCTGGGAAAATGCGGGGACCATCATCAAAAGGCCTCTAGATTGGACGAAGCATAATTTGCTGCACGTTTGAAGCAATTACAGTTGAGAAAGTTGAGATAGTTGAGAAAAGGTGTAAACTACGAAGACAGTCTCATATCTGCTGTCATGTCGACATTTAGCTTTGAATTACTACAGCACCCAGTAGCATTGAAGTACTTCAGGACCTTTCATAATCTCCTGATCTAGGAATATCAACCTTCTATTATTTATAAAAGATCAACCAAAACCAAATACGACTCAAAAGATGACGTCAGTATTGCACTGGCGAACTTCCAGGAGCTGGACTTGTTGAAGTGCATATGGTGTTGTTCTTTCATGGCAATTTTGGAGAACTAAGAGACACGGAAAACTCATGCTGTACTCTTTCATCTAGACAATATAATAATGTGCACATCAGTCTCGAGTGTGCCTCCTTCAATACTGCTTCAACCAACTTATCAGGTCTCGTCGCACTTCCATCTGTTCCCGAAAATGACGGGCGATCGGGTAGCCTAGTGATTACAGCGTTCGCTCTTCAGGTCAAAGACCCGAGTTCGAAGTCTTTCTATGTGATGCTCAGAACGTATTAGTCAAACCTTGTAAGGGTTTGAAAGTTATCGGGGATTGGATGGAATAAGAGGATTGTTGCCAAAAAGCGTTAGGGATCCGAGGGAAATGTAGGTCAAACAAAGGTTAATCACGATCGCCATGGCTTCAGGTAAAACTACCAGTCAGCAAAACCACGAGTAAAAGAAAAGAACAGTTCACTGTTCTACTCCAATAGTTCTAATATTAGCTGAAGTTCATAACCATTTGATGATAACATTCCTGAAAGAAATACAGTTGTCATGATAGTGCATTGGGCCAATCACTGTTTTGTGTTGTTAGGCAGCTTGAGTTTTCTGTAACCACAAGGGTGAAAATGAAGGTAAAGCAATATCAGATCAATGTACATCAGGCCCCGATTTCTCGAAACAAACTTAAGTCTGAGTTTTGACTTAAGTTCAAGTTTTTACTCAAATAGAGAAAATGCATTTAGCAGAATGAACTGAAATTGATATTAAACTCAAGCATACTAGACAATTTGAGTTTGGTGGATGGATTGCTGAAGTTGTTTGGGCTTTTTTTATTTTAAAAATGCAGTTGAGTTAAAAATTCAGCTGTTTCAAATTGGCAAACTCAGTTTGAAATTTGAGTAAAAACTTAAGTTTGTTTCGAGAAATCGGGGCCTGAGCCTCAAACAACAGCATGGTCTAAGCTGTTTTAATCTGTGTCCCCCGCTTTCTCCTCCCCCCCCCCCTTCCTCTTTCTGCTCCTCGCCTTTTCCACTTTGCTTTTCCTCCTCGTCTTCTTCCTCCAACTCTATCTCTCTGTTTCATCCTCCGCTCTCTCTCTTCCTCCTCCTCTCCCTTTGCATGTTCCTCCTCCACTTCTTATTTTGTATTCAACTTATTAACTGTGTTTGTTTTACTAAACATGCTTTTATATTCAACTTTGACATCATCAGGCTCATATGGCGTCGACATCAGGGCAAGTAGCAACATCACTGTATCCCGGTGCGACATCCACTACACCAACGGTGGTGTCAGTCTGTACGGTAATGAAACAATCCACAATTAACAATATGGCGACCCATCGACCTATGTTCAGCACAGAGCTTTTAGTTTACGTGACGACCAGTTCAACTGGTCACAGAGAGTAGAGGTTGGATTACCATTTTGAGAATGAGAAAGCGTTGGTGTGTGTGTGTGTGAGAGAGAGAGAGGGAGAGAGGTGTGTGTGTGAGAGAGAGAGAGGGAGAGAGATTTACATATTAAATTTTATCTATATCTTTATCGAATATTTATTACGGATTAATATTTCTTATTTCTTAGTAAGCTACTAACAGTCTTGAGTTCTGACCCAGACAGAAACATGTTACATACGGTGTGCGAAATAACCAATGGCCTGCTAGCCCGAGGCTAGTAAAAATTCAGTCGGGCCAGTAAATATCCGACTTGTTAAGTTATAATACACTTTTAAATCCTGAGAGATTATGGCCTGATAAAAATGCTCATCGTATTAGCAGCTTAATGATGAAACCAGTGTCTACATTCAAGTTTCGGACTGGCTCGCAAAATTTGGAAACTATTTTGCACACTGGTTTAATGTGGTGTTCCCTCAGGCAAGTACATTTGTTCGATATCTGTATCTGATGTGACTGTAACCCAAACCAGCATAGAGTATACACCGCAGTCACTTGGCTATAAGATTTGAGTGGATCCTGATATTTTCTGTGGACTAACAATAATAACGCGCTATGAGCAAAACCGTATGGTGGCCAAGGGGGGACATCGCTTTTGGATGTTAAAGTGATAACACGACCAATAGCGTATGGTGGCCAAGGAGGGACATCGCTTTTGGATGTTAAAGTGATAACACGATCAATAGCGTATGGTGCCCAAGGAGGGACATCGCTTTTGGATGTTAAAGTTATAACACGATCAATAGCGTATGGTGCTCAAGGAGGGACATCGCTTTTGGATGTCAAAGTGATAACACGATCAATAGCGTATGGTGGCCAAGGAGGGACATCGCTTTTGGATGTTAAAGTTATAACACGATTAATAGCGTATGGTGGCCAAGGTGGGATATCGCTTTTGGATGTTAAAGTGATAACACGATCAATAGCGTATGGTGCCCAAGGAGGGACATCGCTTTTGGATGTTAAAGTGATAAGATGATCAATAGCGTATGGTGGCCAAGGTGGGACATCGCTTTTGGATGTTAAAGTGATAAGATGATCAATAGCGTATGGTGGCCAAGGGGGCACATCGCTTTTGGATGTTAAAGTGATAAGATGATCAATAGCTTATGGTGGCCAAGGTGGGACATCGCTTTTGGATGTTAAAGTGATAACACGATCAATAGCGTATGGTGCCCAAGGAGGGACATCGCTTTTGGATGTTAAAGTGATAACACGACCAATAGCGTATGGCGGCCAAGGTGGGACATCGCTTTTGGATGTTAAAGTGATAACACGATCAATAGCGTATGGTGGCCAAGGAGGGACATCGCTTTTGGATGTTAAAGTGATAAGATGATCAATAGCGTATGGTGGCCAAGGAGGGACATCGCTTTTGGATGTTAAAGTGATAAGATGATCAATAGCGTATGGTGGCCAAGGGGGGACATCGCTTTTGGATGTTAAAGTGATAACACGACCAATAGCTTATGGTGGCCGAGGTGGGACATCGCTTTTGGATGTTAAAGTGATAACACGATCAATAGCGTATGGTGGCCAAGGAGGGACATCGCTTTTGGATGTTAAAGTGATAACACGACCAATAGCGTATGGCGGCCAAGGTGGGACATCGCTTTTGGATGTTAAAGTGATAACACGATCAATAGCGTATGGTGGCCAAGGAGGGACATCGCTTTTGGATGTTAATGTGATAAGATGATCAATAGCGTATGGTGGCCAAGGAGGGACATTGCTTTTGGATGTTAAAGTGATAAGATGATCAATAGCGTATGGTGGCCAAGGGGGGACATCGCTTTTGGATGTTAAAGTGATAACACGATCAATAGCTTATGGTGGCCAAGGTGGGACATCGCTTTTGGATGTTAAAGTGATAACACGATCAATAGAGTATGGTGCCCAAGGAGGGACATCGCTTTTGGATATTAAAATGATAACACGACCAATAGCGTATGGCGGCCAAGGGGGGACATCGCTTTTGGATGTTAAAGTGATAACACGATCAATAGCCACAGCAAAAATAACTTCGTTTCCATTTTTGCGGAAACCTAATGGATACTGGGTAATGTATGTTTCCGCTTGGTTTCAGCATCCGGAAACAGACAATGTGAGTTTCCGCGTAGTTTACCAAACTGAAACTAACAAATCTAGGTTTCCGTCTGATTTCTACAACTGAAACTGTCATTATGAGTTTCCATTTAGTTTCAGGTCGCTGAAAGATTCATAGCAAAATGACTTAGTTTCCGTTGTTGCGGAAACCTATTGGATACTGGGTAATGTAGGTTTCAGCTAGGTTTCTGTACCCGAAACTGACAAGTCTGTTGGTTTCAGCTTTGATGAAATGGCAAACTTAGCTTTGTGTTGTTCCATTTGGGGCTATATTAATTTACTGTTACACTTGTAAAATAATTTCTATATACAGTATCCAGCTTGGGCCCATGCAGGAGGAAAAGCAATAGCCCATTTTATACTGTACTGTATAAGTGTTTATGGTTATATGTTTTAGTGTACATTTGTGACAGACTAGTTATTTTACTGTCTTTCGCAGACAGGTAATTTTTTTATATAATGCACACATTAAAATATAAATTTCCAAGGTTAGTTTCAGCGACTGGAAACTACCGGAAACCAACAAAGTTAGTTTCAGAAACGGAAATTTAAAGTAAAGTATCATTGGTAGTTTCTATTGCATAAAGCAGCTTGAAACCATCATTGATGGGAACGTCAATGAAACGAACGTAGAGGAAATTACTCCATATATACCAGTATATTCAGCATATAACCGACATTAGTGAGTGAGTTAAGATTTAAAGTCACATCGGCAATATTTCAGCCATATCGTGACTAAAGCAAGTTATAAATATATCAACAATTTGAGTGAAATTATAAAATTCTGCCAACGAAGGACAGTAAAATAACTAGATAATCACAGATATATATGTAAAACTAGTAATTGAATCTAAAACATTTTAACTATAGGGGACAACACAATATAAAATGGGTTATAGATCGCCACCAACTGAAGGTAGATCACCATGCTAGGAGCCATGGGGACTTACATTACTTTTGCTACCTGCATGGATCCTAGCTGGATTTACACCATCCCTTCAGCCATTGGCGATTGTAGGAAAATTTAGCCAACAGTTAAAATAACAAAAATACTACGTTTAAAATGTGATAATTTATATTTTACTTTGAAAGTTTTGGGACTTACGTACCCTCTCAGGAGGACAATAATTTTACGCTACGTCAACCCCCTTTGAGGGTACAGCCACTAACAATCTCAGTGACTAATTTAAATTACCAGTAATAAAATATTTATCTATTTACAAAACAGTTAATAAATCTAATTCTTTTAAAAATTCAACTATTAAATGATAATTAGCATTATTAAAAAGATCCTTCAATGTTTTGACATTAAAATACTTATCCCTTGTGACGGAATATTCAACACAGTCAAGCAGGACATGCTTGACTGTGATTCTTTCATCACAAAGGGATACAAACGGATATAACCGACATTAACCTACGCTAAACTGTCTATGTATTCCATGTATGTAAGTTTCAGTTTAGTGTTCTCAGTGTACACCAGTATTCAAATAAAAGATACTGTCACATGAAAGAAAAAATAATTTCAGGAAAAGTTAAACCATATTACGGAAACTTAAGATTCTACTTTGTCTCCTTAACGGTTTGTTAGGTACACTCACAGATGCCTTAAACTTTTAAATTACTGAGGAACCGGTAAGGCTCCATTAGGTTTCAGTTACCCGTTGGCTTTCCGTTTGTTTTTTCTCAAAGTGATACATACTAATACAACTAACTGGGAGTGGTTATGCACATTACACATAACTGTACCAAAAAGGACAATAGTTCGTAAATGTCCAATAAAGAACATAATACAGGCTTCAACAAATTACAAAGTAGACCTATAGATATAAAATATGTTTAAGTTTAACGTCATATGCCAGTGGTGAAAAATGTTGGGATTGAAAGAAAATGAAGTCAATGAACGTTTTGCCTTTTAATTATAGTATTATCATTATTGATCCATTATCATATTCATAAGCACTTTGGAACCTCATAAATTTATTAAATGGCTTTCTAAATATGTCATCGAGTACCTAAAATATAAGGGAATCAGTTTACAACCTGAAAAAACTAAGAGATCTTGTTGGGTACGCCCCTGGATTGTCAGAAGAGGAGAGGTGGGGGCTTATAACTCACATGGACAATGTTGTTTGTGGAATAATTTTGTTGAATGCTACAAGAAAAATGAAAACAAAATACAGATATCAAACTTAAAACCAACTAACGTAATAACAAAACTAATGGGCTATTACCTTGTTCGAGAAAAGTATCCATCAGTATCCACATAATGGAACGATATGCCATTCATCGGCAGCTGCCCCCAAAAACTGTTTCATGTCACGTGATCGGGTTTCACTGGACACCAAAGATAATACACCTGACAAGTTTTTACATAATGTCACAATTCTTTAGAAACGGTGCATGTTGTTTTAAGGGATTAGCTTTCTGAAATACCTAGCGAAATAGGTGACACTAACTCACCCCTTGTTCACTTACATGATGAAAATCAATGAAATTGAACTCACTTAGCTTGTTTTGATTGATATGAGTAAGCACCAACTCATCAATTTTGGTACATAATATGCTGGCCATAATTCATCACTTTTATTATGGCAAAACAGCAGTTACATGTGTAAAGTAAAAGTTCATTCCGACTTCACGAGGCTGTATGTATGGATGGTACGCTTTAGAGAAATGCTACATCTTGGATGTGCTGGGTATGTTGTAGAGTCTCAGCTGTCTCCACTGTAGATGATATAGTCACC